GGAAAAGGTCAGATAATGTGATGTTAGGAAAATGAACCCTTAGATATGTATTTTAATGTTTTTTTCTTTCATGCATGTGTTTCTAACGCATTTATAAGATTATTTCTTTGTTGCTTTGTATGTCCCTCCCCCACAGTATAACCCCTGCTTTCACTATATTTGATGTCAGTATAACTTGTGGAGGCGATGGGGAAAAACAAGTCATTTAAGGATATAGGTGGACCTGTTGCAACAATGAGAAGTACAAGTTGTCATGTCGAAAACGAGCTTTACAATGTTGGTGGGGGAGGGGGGGAAGGATTGGGACTGGGGAGGAGGGGGGAGGCTGGGAAGGGATGTGAAGGATAAACAAAGGAGGAGGCTGCAATGCTTGGTAAGAGATGTATGCATTATCCTGCCCATCTAATTGTAACCCCTCTGTACAGTATGTTCACAAATAAAATAAAATAAATTAAAAAAAATTCAAGTATGAAGAGCTGTCAATTGCTCTTGCAGCCATGGACATGTGGTGTCTGGCTATCTCTTGGCACTATTCCATTCTACCTTGTTTCATTTCTCTTCCCTCATTTGGCTGGTCTCTCTTGATTTAGGTCTTTTCTACAGTGTTAGCCTTATGTTCTGTCCATCTGATCTTGTCTTCTCTGATGGATTGGTTGTTCTTGCTCTTAATCCAGAGCAGAGCCTCCTGCTATTCTCCATTCTTGCCCCATCATGCTGCTCCTCTGGCTACAAAAGGAGCTCTGGACACCAGTCCACCTACTACTGCTGTTGATTGAACTTTGTAATTACAATGGGGATTCTTTTGGCATCTCAACTTAGGCTTACTGCTACAATTCTCGTTATTATATAAGAACTCACCAGTCAGAACTTGCTCATCAATTCTTCCCCTCTCTATATGATTTTTTTCCTTTATAAAAATAAAACAGGTTATTATCCTTCCCTACCCTGTTCCAGGAGAATACAAGCTGTGGTCCATTGTGTAGAAAGACGGTGTTGTTGATAAAGGTATTTCCTGTTTTTGCCTTCTTGTAAACAACTTATTTGACCTTGTTGTTTGCCTTGTTGGTAGCTTATACCACACTCCCATACCCTGTCTCATGGATGGGAAGCAGATGAACCAAGGTAACACTGTCCAGGAAAATGGGATGTCAAAGGACCACACTACTTCTTGCTGACACAATCTCAAGGCAAGGACCAGCTCTATAACAGTCCTGGGGCCTTGTTCCCTTTGTCCTAAGAAAAAGAATTCCTAAGGCATGAATAGAAATACCATGTAAGGTGTTCACGTGTGGCCATGCCAGGTGGAATTTGAGTCATCTTTACCTCTCATACTTCTTTTTGTGCCAGATCTATGGAGCATGCGGTCTTTCTGTTTCTTTGAGTTCCATCATGTTGTGAACAGACCGCAATAGCCCTTCATAATCTTTGATAGCATTTATAACATCCTGGCTGGAAATCTGTGCAGAATATGTTATCTAACAGGCCCTCTCTCAGGACCATGTGAATGATTAAACAGATTCATGTTTGAGGCATGTGCTTACGATGTGCTGCCTTTATTGAAAGTAATTAAAACTTGGCAAATATTCCTTTCAGATGATTAATAGACCCATCTTCACTTCTTTTGGGAGGTCAGTTACCAGTTATCAAAGATTACACACCTGTTTTTACATCCACGTGGTTGCCGGAAACTTGGTAGCATAGGGCTTGCCTGAAGTTGTGCCATACTGAAGGGGTGTGGGGGAATAGGCCTTGTATTTACCTAAGTCTTGAGGAAAGATCGTAGATGCTAAGGAATGGTCACTTTGGTGGTATAAAGCAAAGCTTCAAAGAACTTGAATACTCTCAATTTGAATACTAATTAATGTAATTAATGTTTTCCACACTTAAGACTCAGGGAGTAAAGATTCTCTGTGACTTGAATGAACCAAGTTAGCAGTATGTATGAAATTCACTAGTAGAGGGCTTAAGGCAGATCACTGATTATATCAGGAGGTAGGAATGAGGTTGTAAAATGAAAACCTTGCTTAATAATTTATTATTAGTATTTTACAGGTAAGTATCCATGAAAGACATTGTATTAGCAGAACATCAGATTCCTTGGTTGTATCACCTCAAATGCCTCCAAATAAGGGCCTAAGTACAAAGTCTTCTAGCAATGTTTCTGCAAAGGACCCTTATTACCTTAGAGACAAAAAGTCCCCAAGAGGTACAGCATGGGTGAGTGACCTAAAATTCAGTACAGGACATACAGGATGTGGCTGCCTCCCTGGAACATTCAGGAACATTCATTGTCTTTAATTTATAGAGGGCACAGCCTTCTGAAGTTTCAAGTGACTTGCCCATGCCAGAGTTGGTCAACTGGATGCCAGAAAACCCCCGTGGCAGGAAGGGTGGACGCAGGGTGTGGGTGTCCCCCACTCCACTCCCTGCCTGTTAGGTCAGGAGCCCCACACCCTCCCTGGAGGTCCTGCCTCACAGCTGTGACAGAGCACTAGAAAGGGAATTCCTCTCCCCAGACTCCCAGACACAAATGCAAAGTTCACAGGTCTCCGATTCTTTCCCACAGAGGAACATGTGTTTTTGTGGAAAGACCACACAGACGAGTCAGGATCTCTCTGTTGTTTCCAGAATCTGGCCTGCATTGGCTGTGCAGCCTGAGTCAAATTAGAGAACCATGGCCACATTCGGCTGGAAGGAATTTAGGGATCATCTCTACTGGTGCATCAGAACCACCAGGGCTGCTCATTAAAGCACAGATTCCTGGGCCTCATTCCCAGAGACTCTGATTTAGTAGGTCTGGGGCAGCATTGGATTTCGGCTGTACTAGCAGGCTTCCAAGGCGTGCTGATTCATGGACCACACTTGAGTAACTCTGGCTTATTCTACCTTGTCTGTAGATGGATTGGCAGGGTTCTTCCTAAGGGCCAAAGAGTAAATCTTTCAGGATCTGCAGACTTGTCAATCTCCATGGCAAATGATACAATTCTGTCACTACAACATGAAAGCAGCCATAGACATGTATAGAAATGGACCTGGTTGTCTCATGACAAATCCATACAAAATTAGGAGGCAGCCATGGGCTATCGCTGGCTGACCCTACAAGGACTAAGTCACCACATGCTTAATAGCAATCCAGGTTTTGTCTCTTCTCTTTCCTTCCTTGCTTAGCTTCAAATTACTTAGGGAAGATTTTCTCATATTTTTGTCATTATTTTTTCATATTTGTTCTCCATGACTATGATGAAATCCTATCAATAAATAAGCACTCAAAAATATTCATATGGTAAGTTATCTGCAATGACACTGTTACTGAGGATTTTTTAATTTGAACTTATTTATGTTTCCTCTAATGTATAGTATTACATGAGAAAACTAAGTATATTAAGAAATGAGATGAGGGCTGGGAAGGTGGCTAAGTGGTAGAGCGCTTGCCTTGCATGCTCAAGGCCCTGGGTTCGATTCCTCAGCACCACATAAGAAAAAAGAAAAAAGCTGGAAGTGGCGCTGCGGCTCAAGCAGTAGAGCGCTAGCCTTGAGCTGAAGAGCTGAGAGACAGCGCCCAGGCCCAGAGTTCAGGCTCCACGACCGGACCCCCAACCCCCCCCCCCAAAAAAAGAAAGAAATGAGATGAGGGGCTGGGAAGGTGGCTCAGTGGTAGAGCGCTTGCCTTGCAGGCCTGAGGCCCTGGGTTCGATTCCTCAGCACCATATAAGCAAAAAGAAAAAAGCCGGAAGTGGCGCTGTGGCTCAAGTGGTAGAGCGCTAGCCTTGAGCTGAAGAGCTGAGGGATAGCGCCCAGGCCCAAAGTTCAGGCCACACGACCGGAACCAAAAAAAAAAAAGAAATGAGATCATTTGGATGGATTATTTAGGAACATCTTAGGTATCCAGCATGGCTTTGATGAAAAAAACAAACAAACAAACACGAGACTATTAGATAACTGAGTCACTGGGTCACACACGTATCCTAGCTACCCAGGAGGCTGAGCTCTGAGGATCACAGTTCAAAGCCAGCCTGGGCAATAAAGTCCATGAGACTATCTCCAATTAACCACCAAAAAGCCAGAAATGATGCTGTGGCTTAAAGTGGTAGAGCACTAGCTATGAGCACTAGAGCTCAGCAATAGTGCCCAGGCCCTGAGTTCAAGCCCCAGAACAAGTACAAGAAAACGGAAAGAGTTTTAGTTTTAGTATGGTCTCTAAGACTTAACTATGTTTGTATTTTAAGGAGAAAAAAAATTCTATCAACAAAGACATAACCAACAAGTTATATTATTTTTTATTCATGTTAGAATTTCTATCAGTGTTTGAACATTAATATTTAGAGAGTTTGTACATTGTCACCTTCCAAGGTTAAAAGGAGAACCACACTAGGTCACAAATGGTAACTAATAAACATTTCACAATCACATGAATAGCCGCTCGCTCTCTCTTAACACTGGTCAGAATTTTCATTTCCTTGCTGTAATTTACAATGGAAAGTGTCCCTACTCATGTCCCAGCAAGATTGCAGACATTATGGAATCATCACATATAAATTCTTTAAAAATATACTTCTGTCAAAAGACTTGACGACTACTATGTACACTACAAAAATAAATTTTCATATAAATAAATTATATGGCATATTTTTATCTTTGTAAATGAAATGACACAAACTCATTTCCACCTGAATTGGCAGAGAATGAGACCCAGTTTGAATATTTCCTTTAAACTCCTTACACTAAAACCTATCATGAGTCCTTATTGTAAATGTTATATACTCTGAACTATTTAACATTAGTAAGCACTCTATACAAATAAAAATTCTGTTCAAAAGTAAAACATAGCTGGAATAGTGTTTCCAATAGAAATAAATCCCTGCATTTTTTGTTATAAACTGGCATGACAAATACTGTAGGAAAACATTCTTATGATACAAAATTAAAATTATAAATATCAGCAAAAACTTTTTTTAAAAATTAAAACATCCAAATGAACAAACAAGACATACAAAATAAAACTTTTAGGGAAGGGTGGGGGAGAGAGGGAGAGAGGGAGAGAAGGAGAGAGGGAAAGAGGGAGAGAGAGAGAAAATTTCCTACTAGCTCAAGTTTTCCTTGTCCATTGAGACCTATGAAGAAAGTTCTATGCTCAACAGAAATGAATAGGCTGCACAGGCCCTCACGTGCCATACAAGCTAGGCTCAGGAAAGGAGTTAGGGGCAGTGAGGGGAACAGCCAGAGCTGCAGGAAAGCCATCTTGAGAATTTTCAATCTCTCTCCTCACCTCAGGAAACAAATTCTCTGAGCAGAGCTGGTGTTAGGTAGGCAGACAGTATGGCTGACAGGCACCAAGACATGAGCAGTGTGGGGTAGAGCTAGGGCCCCTGGCCTATTAATACACACACCTGGCAGCCACAGGTGGCTTCCAATTAGTACCTTACAGTTTTGTGGTGAGTTTTAGGGTCTGAGGTCACTATCCTGCTGGTACTACTGGGGGCCCATTGCATTAAGGTTTTCCACAGAGGGCACAAGGGAGGAGCAGGAGCAGCCTACAGAGCCCCCCTCGCAGTAGCTTAGGCTGCTGACACACACACACACACACACACACACACACACACACACACACACACACACACACACACACACACACACACACACACACACACACACACACACACACACACACACACACACGAGCAATGGGTCCTTTCCAGACAGGTTGTTGGTGCTGATTGGGAAAGGGAGCTGGACAATGCTTCCCTAACATTTGCTAGTCTAAGGTTAGAGGTGAAGGAGTCTCAAACTTCAGAGCAAGAGATGACTCCATATACATTCTGGAGTATAAGTAATTAGCATCCTAGCTCTCTTAAAAAAAAAAAAAGTTGCACTGAAAGAATCATAATGGAGAGGGGAGGAAAGCCACATTTTTATTCATTTAAAAATGTGCACCTAACATGAATGTACTGCAAAAAATCTCAGAACTTGAGTCTGCATCACCTGCCATGTTAGAAGCAAGCTGACCTAGGAATCCTCAACTAGCTGTTCAATTGAGAGGAAATTTAAATTGTAGGACCTCAAAACGTCCTCTCTTGGCTTACTGAGCCCTGAATGAATGGATTCTTCTACCTGTATTAGGGTCATGGGGTGGGAGGCTGTGTGTGTAAGTGCACATGCGCACATAAGTCACATGCAAGGCAGAATACTACACACTTTTCTGGAGTACACTGATTTCCATAGCTTAGCAGGGTCTCCCCACTCGGCATAGTTCCTAATTCTTTTCCTCCAATGAAGACAGTTGGCTCTGCACCCTGAGGTTCCAACATCCAACATAATAATCTATGTGAAGAAACCTATTTTCTCTGAAGCACAAGGTGGGTGTTGGGAGGGCAACAAGTGAGGTTGCACCTGGCTTCTCCTGGACCGTTTCCAGAGAATAAGGTGGCTATTTAGAGATACCCCTCCAACCAGCACAGAGCCATAAAGATACTCCAACTCTTCTGGCCTGATGGGATGAGAAGCCACTACAGATTACAGAGAACAAAGAGAAATAAACAAGATAAAACAAAAATCACAATACAGTACATTGGAAAATCCATACATGGTCACATACACACACACATAACCAAACAACTACCCCTAGAGAAGCCACCAGGATTAACGTGCTTTCTTCATATCTGCTCATTAAACAACAACAATTATCACGCATAGCGTGTTTGAAAGTTAACAGTAACATTTCATACTACCACAGGGTTGTGATATGCAAATTTAAAATATTTTAAAACAAAGAAATCTTTACAAAATAATCCTATTACATAAGCAATATTTGCATAGAATTATACAGGTAAATTATACAATATTTAAGCAGCAGCAACATATGCTGAACATTTAAGACTAAGTTAAGCTTGGTTGTGGCAGAGATCAATGTACAAATAGGGAGGGGTGCGGTCCCCCACCCCATCCCCAGTGACCTCCCCACTCTGGGGCAGGAGTGGAGAAACCCCAGGTCATTCTATTTTACATTGTTCCCTCGTATATTACATATGTGTACACCTCTTAAATATTTATAGAAATATTTAACAAAATAATACAATTGGTTACAGTAACAATGAACTGCTCTCCAGGGCAGCACACCTTCTCCCTAACTCCAAGCAGCTCTCTTCAAGCAGTTCTGGAAAGAGGTGGGGCAGAGGTGGGGGGGGGGGGGGGGGGTTCCAATCTTTGGCCTCTTTGCTTCAGATTTTAATCACCCTTTAAAAGAAAACAATGCAGGATGTCATTTTATGGTCACTTAGAGAAAGAATTACGCATTATCATATACAGACAGCCCCCAACTTTGGAACGTTTGACTTCATTTTTTTTTTCTTTAGCATTATGAAGGGATGGCAGGGTGTTAAGTGCAGTACAGGAATTTCCACCATCATGATGCAATCACACAGTCAGGTGAAAAGTGTTGTGTAGCGGTTATGGCACTGCAATAACAATGGCAAATAGGTAGGTAAAAGGTGAAGTGGCTATGGTCTTTGTTAAGTTGTACTAATTCTTAAGAGGTTACTTATCAAGGAGGAAGAACCCAGTTTGAAACAGGACTGGTACTCCAAGTGGTGAAAACAGAGCCCAGGTCATTAAAGGTCCCCTGGGAGATGCAGCCTCAGACTGCCAAGGAACTTCTTTATCTGCCCCCATCTAGGTCCCCCGGCCCCCGGGCAGCACACACCTCAGTTGGAGCTGCCTCCCCAGCGCCCGTCCTCACACTCCACATCCTGCAGCTCTATGACTTCCACCTTCGAGTCCCTCCTCTCGCATCGGACGTGAAAAGGCACGTGGGGGTCCTCGAACAGCCCAGGGTCAGTATCAGGGTAGTCTTCATAGCCCGGGCAGAGCCCCCCTCGGGGGTTCCGTCCTGGTCCAGAAATGGGTGGGGGGTGCACAGCAACAGTGACAGAAGCGGAAGCTGTCACAGTGGTGATGGGCTGGCAGTAGCTGGGCACAGAGCTGCCCATGGCAGTGGACGCTGGGTTCCGAGGGTTGTGGGAACGGGCTCCCCGGGGGCCCGAGCGGTCCCTGTTGCTAGGGCCAGAATGCCCTTCAGTAGAAATTTCAAAAGCGTCTCTGCGTGGTCTGTAGGGGGGTGGCCGCAAGCCTTCTCTGGAGGTGTCCCTGCGGGGCTGCTGGCCTTGTCGCCCAGGGGGTAGGGACCCTGAGTCCAGGTGGGGCTGCTGTCGAGGGTTTGAGGAGGGTGGGTGATGCCTTGGTTCAGGATGGACCACCTGTAGAGGACGAGGGCAGGTTAATATAGGCAGATACACCACGAACCACAGGCTCAGTACATGGCCTCTTCCCCAGTCTTACCCCTCACTTCTTGGCTCTGACCAGGTACCCCGTCAACCCCAGTGAACCAATGGGGACCTTCCACCCACAGAAGACGAACTCAATTTTTCAGTAACCTCCATGACGTGGCAAAAGAGGTCTTTATTTGGAACTTCTTTTTAGCCTTGCTCCAGCACAGCTGGCTGGATCCATATGGCTGCTGCCCATAAATGCAGGGCTGTGGTCTGAGAGCATCACAGCTGCTTCCCTCCCACAATCCGCCACCCCACCCTGGTTGTCTAGCTGGAACCTGGGTTCCTTTCTTCTGAAAACTGCTACAAGTTTGGCCCAGGCTGGCCACAAGGCAGGACCCTGGCAGGATGGTCTATACCATTGCTGTCATACATGGCATTCATTGAAGTCCCATGGCCATTTGCATCTAGATGGATTAAAATTCCAAAATCCAATACCTCAGTCATACTAGACATTTTAGTAGCCTCCACATGTGGCCAGTGGCTACTGGACTAGAGAGCAGAGTCAGAGTTACTATCATGAAGAAACTTGTATCAGGCAGTGCTGCTCTGTCCGATTGTTAGGAATGTGGTTTCTGGGTCTCTATACAAAGCACAGAGCAGCACAGTGGCCACATCAATCAAAAGGACCGTGACCAACTTCAAAGTCGTTCAGCTTGTACCTATTTTTAGGCTCCCGCTGAACAAAACCAGATTCACACTGCAGCTCAGCAGGCATCGTCACGGGGGGTGAGAGGAGGACAATTTAGGTTATTTGGTTGGCCTCCCTCTCTTTCATGGAAGGGCTGCTCTGGCCTGGGACTGGAATACCCATTTCCTGGAGGGATGGCAGGGGGCCTCAGTGGAGCAACATGAGCCCTGGAACCTTCCTTGGCTTTTGCCTGCTGAGCTCCTGGCCTTGGTGGAGGGCGGGGGGAGGTGAGGCCATCTTGGGGGACACAGTGTAAAGGAAGGGGCTGAGGTTCTTGTGACTGGAGAAAGAGCTCCCAGGATCCTCATGACCTTGTAAAATGAAAGTAGGAACTCAGGGGTATTTCAGAGCTTGAGCTTTGATGCTCCTTCTAGCCACCTGACAGATGAGCTCAGAGACACAGAGCTATGGCAGAGTTTTAGACAATAATCAAAATAATTCTGTACTCAGGAAAACAATGAGTAGAGATGAGAAGGAAGAGAAAAGCCACCTTCTCACAGCAATAAAAACATTATCATTTTTAAGATATAGTTTATAAAGAATCAAATACATTGGTTAACTTTCCTGCGATGGATGGGTATATACTTTCTTGATGCATCTTGTCTAAGTGATTTGCTGCTCAGAGCAGGCAGGGGCTCTCCTAAACCATCCAGCCCATTACCACCGGTAGAAAGGACCCCCCCTGGCCACTGTGATGACTTACAGTGGAACGGGCGAAGACAGGGTTTTCTGTGGCTTCCACGATCACTTGGTGGGCAGGACCCCCCATGCCCTGCTGTGCCTCATAGTGTTGAAGCTCTTCACTGATGCCGGACACTGTTGTCTGAGAACTGTACTCCGAGTCAGAGGAATCTGACCCATTGTTTGTGTGACCCGGGGGAACCGCAAAACGAACAACACTAGGGGGCGGCTCAGGGGAAGGAGTAGGTAGCTGGTTCAGGCCATTGGCTGGAGACACCTATTTAAGAAGATTCCAGATTAAAAGTTTTATTGTCTATTTCCCTGCTGGCCAATCTCAAGGTTCAGAGCAAGGTATTATTCAGGGGTCTCTGCCTCCTACCCTGGGACCCCACGTTATATTGTATTCTCCTCTCTTCTGTCTGCCACCAAAGTGGACCCTGAAGTCCTACAGCTAGAGCCAAAGAATGGCCTATGCCTTTTCACACAGGAAGGTGAGATGTGCACCCCTCTGTGAAGCCCAGATATTCATCTAGAGCGGAAAACCTTCATTAATATAGATCGAAAAGACTCAGGCTGTCAATTAGTTGATTTGAAGCTGAACAAAGTCTACCACCCCCCACCCCCAAAGCAACCAAATTGAAAAGGGCCATGCTTTTATTTCCTTAAAGAGTAAATAAAACTACTGGCAAATATGGAAATACCTAAGTATCTAAATTAATAGTGACACTAGGCAAAACAGCATTTAGTGGCCTGTGGATTAGACATTATGCCCAGAGTAATTACTGACCTCAGGATATGGTCCAAAGAAAGATAAAAGGACAGGAAGCAAAACCAGTCCATTGAGAACACCCAGGATTGTTAGGATTGCCAGGACAGCAAAGAAATACCTTGAAGATAAAAGGAAAACAGGAACCTTCAGAGTGACAAAAGAAAATTATACTACCCTCTGTCTACCCAAATATTGTAACATATCAACACCCAAACCCAACCCATTTGTAACAGTGGTTATAAATCCATAGTTCAAATTCAACTATAAGACTGTTTTTTGTTGTTGTTGTTGTTGTTGTTGTTAGCTTTTTTTGTTCCTCAGGAGTTAGAGAATTATATTCCACAGCCCCATAGTGTTAGCTCATAAGGGAAGGAAAAAAAATTAGTTTGTTAATTTGCTAAAATCTCATGGCATGTAATGTTATTTATGAATGTGTTACACAAACACAAAAATATGGAATGTGAACTGAATGGCTGAGCAAACTGAAAGCACAAATACAATGCCGAGGGGCCCCGTTCATGAAAACCCAGCAGAAGCAAACAAATGAAGTGAAGGGTGTAGAATTTAAACAATTTGGCCCAGGAGGAAAAGCAGCCCACTTCTGCAGGCAGCTAATCCACTGTGAAATGCTTCTGCCTCTTACGGCAGAATCTCTAATTAAGTCTCTAGCATATCAGGTAAGGCTTTCCCTGGGCTTTCATTAATCACAACTTTCTGCCTAGAATTCTGTGAGTTCCAGTTTTACCAAATAGCTCCAATTGCAACCTTTTTTAGGACACAGGAACCAGCTTTCTGCAAAGAGAATGCTGCCCATTCTGTGGGAGCCGGGGCATTGTGCTGGGTGAGGGTGCTCCACAATGGCGGGGCTGCTCTGCGGGCCAAGCTTTTGTTGAACAATTTAGCATCTCTGAATACTCTTGTTTTGCGTCAGCCAATTCAAACATAAAGGCTGCAGCACCATGGTAGAAGAGGAAAGTGAACAAGTAGTTCTGCTTTCCCACCATTGAGGGCTAAGGTCTGGGATCCTTCACGAATACCAAGGTAAACCTGTCAGCCAGGGACAGCCTCTGGCGGACACTCTGCACAGCGGGAGGGCTCACACTCCACGCAAGGATGCCTTTCTGGAACTAATGATTTCTAGGGCTTTGATGGAAGTGGGCTGGGGTGGGGGAAGTGAGGCTCAGGATGTTCTGGAAAGAGGGAGGGCAAGATATCTATCTGTTAATGGTCTGCTGGATCATGAAACAGACCAGGCAACCAATGTTGCCATGTCTATATATGTTTCAACATTAGATGAAAGGGGAGAGAATCCCTATAAAAATACAAATACCTCACAGCTATTGTAAACACTAGAAACTTTTGAGCTGCATTAGTTCAGAAAAAAAAAAAAGACAAAACCTCAACACCAAGCAGTCAATGTCTTGCTTTAATGTAAACTGCTAGAACTTTCAGTAGAGGCATATATCAGCAGCAGGCATTAAGACATTTGCATCCCATCCATCTAACTGTAGCATAAACAGACCAATTAGATTTCTGACGGCTTTGTGTATACAAATGTCTGCTCATTTATTCGAGCTCAGTTTTAGAAAATGAGAAGCCCTTTCTAAGTGCTTGAAACAGGAATCTTGATATCTCTGTGAGGAAACCAGCAGTCTGAACAGAATAAGAGACCTGGGATTCTGCTCTCCAGGCTCTCAGCTGGGTGCTCTAAGTCAGGCCATGTTTTCTTCCTATGGCTCACTCAGTATCCCTTGTGAGGTTGACCCACATGAGCTCAGCACACACTCTGTCTCTACTGTTTTGAATTACCTGGGGAACTATCTCTTCCCACTATAGGCCATAAGCCATATAGAAAGGGACAGAGCCCAGGTTTCTTGCTGTTGGACAATATGACACTTGTGAGGTTGGCATTACGTATGTGCTCAATGCGAAAGTAGTTATGCAAAAAAAAAAAGACTATCTGGCATTGGGCTTTTAAAGCATAGAGAGAATACAAATATCTAAATAAGAGTGTATCAAGGAAATGAAAGTCAAAGTCAAATCAATAGCTTTAAACAAGCCAAAACCTTTATCTAACTTAGGCCAACTATCTCAGTATTTGGGCAAATAAGAACTTACACATTGGCCAGTTGACTTATCAACAGACTAGGTTGAGAAGTCTTGCATTCATGGGCCTCATCTGGAAGCTGAGTGGAAAGGCAAGTACTCCTCTCAACCTCCAATGCCATCTGCATGTAAAGAGCCCTAGTGGATTCAGACATACAAAATAGACCATGTCCTGGTCCCCAATGAAAGAGTGACTCTATCTCTTGATTCATTCTAGTCCAAATCACAGGGAGTAAACTAGAAGATTCATTTCAGGAAGGGCGAATCTCTAGGATGCTTGACTGCCCAATGGACTATGCTAATAGACTGATGCAAGACTCTTCCTTTCTTTTCCCTGTTTTTAATCAAGGGCCTCACCCATGCTCAGCAAGCACTCTATTACCCTGTAAGAAGCCAACTTGAGCTAAAACTTCTAATTAAAAGGATTTTCTTTTCATCTGAAAACAAGTGGCTTCGGTTTCTCACACATACAAACATACATGTGCACAGGACAAGGCCAACTAGATTAACTGTCCAGATTAAAGTGCCCACACAAACTATCTATTTGTCAGGGTTCTACCTTTCCACAGTTCTAGTTCTGCAGTGTATTTTTACTTAGGGATGACTTTACCTCTTCACAAGTAGTAGTATTTTATTCAAGAGTAGCTACCTCCCAAAGCTGTGAAGGCTGTTGAGAGAACATGGTTTCTTTCTCTGCAGGTATCCAACAATTTACTAAAGGAAAACTCACTTTCCTTCTATAAATAAGAAAGGCATTCTTCTTACTTAAATAAATCAACAAGAAATAGTCTGTCTTGAAGTCAACATAGAAGTACTCAAACTAGGCTGGGGTTTCCAATCTGGGCATGTTATCTTAACTTTTTAAGAGAATTGTGAAGATCATTTTAGGCATTTGTAAGTTTTCCTTTCTAGTTTTGAAGATGATGACACAAAGCTCCAATGAGGTCATTTATGGGAACCATGTCATCTTTCTGTAGACTTTTCTACCCTGGGACATTAACAGGTAAGATACTGGGTGACTAACTGGGACAATGGTGATACTTTGTGCTGAAAAGTCACCTTTGGTGCTAAGCTCTACCCCTTCACCTCTACCTAAGGTCTTCCTATGATGTCTCTGGAACATAGCTTGTACATTTTGTACCTCTTAGCATAAAAGAAAGTTGAGTTACAGTGAAGAGATGCTGCCATCTACCAGATATAGGAGGAAATAAGCAACAACAAAAAATATGAAGAAATTTTTTAAAACAAATCATCTGTCATGCTCTCACTTACCTGACAATGAAATCAAACTCAGACCCTGCAAGCATCAGTACTCCAAGCAGAGTGGACACGGCACCATCCAAGACAGGGGCAAACATGTGTTCCAGGGCAAGCACAGCCCTGCGATTCTTGTCACCAATGGCTGTCAGAAAGGCCTGTGTAAGGAAAAGGGGTCAGGTGATGAGTCTTGAATCGGACATGGTATAGCCTCAACTTTGCCTTAAGATTTTCCCCATCTTTCCTGAACATACTTCTCAGATTTTACTGTTAATCAGAGGAGCTAGATGAGGCTTAAACATGTTTGTGATATTGGCTCATAGTCTATGTTGAGGTGAATCTTCAGCAAAACCTAGACTATACAAATTGTACACAAATATTTCCTTTCATTCCTAATCACACTCAAGTATCTCACACCACTCACAGAGAAGACTGACAGTTGTGAAAGACAAAATATTCTGGCTAATGTTTTAGTTGGTCAAGATCTTGTGTTCAACTTAGTCTGATGGGCAGTGGGTGCTGAATATGCATTTCGCCTTGATTTCATTGAGGTGAGAATTTCTGTCACTGCTTCAAACAAATGTATTTGTGGTATACCTGAGCACCAGGCTGTAAGTGCAACTCTAGTCTGACATAAGTATGTAAGTACATACCCCTATTGCCCTTGCATCCTAAAGCACCTCCAGATCAAGAGTGGTGTTTGCTACCAAATGGGAACTTGGGCATTAGAATGCTGCAATCAGTGTGACCCATGGACACTTGAATATGGGTTATTCACTTGAATGACTGCTATTCCCTGCCTGGTTCCTGCCTGGAAGAAGGGATGGTGCTTGGCACAAGGTTATTCTCTGTTTTAAAGTTTAGGCGAAAGAAAGGAGCCACTATGGTGTGTGTGTGTGTGTGTGTGTGAGGAGCCACTATGGGGTGTGTGTGTGTGTGTGTGTTCCTAACCTGTATTTACCCTGTGAGAAGGACAAGAATAGTTATTTTCCTTATCAAAAAAATAGTATGTACAGAACATCCTGAGCATCCATTATTTTCTCTTCTAAAACTCTGTTCTCAGACTTGAGACATAAGTTGTTACTAAAATGCTTTGTATCATACTTGAACTGGGTGCCATTGTCTTATCCCATGGCTCACAACTGATGCTTACTGAAATGCAGCAACCTAACAGGAATCTGCCTACTTCTTTGGAGCCTGAACTTTGGGCCTGGGTGCTGTCCCTCAGCTCAAGGCTAGTGCTCTACCACTTGAGCCACAGTGCCACTTCTGCCTTTTTCTGCTTAGGTGGTACTCAGTTAGCGAACCCAGGTCCTCATGCATTCAAGGCAAGCACTCTACCACTGAGCCACCTTCCCAGCCCCTTCTGCCTACTTCTTAAGGAATTTTAGGAATACATCTTTTCTTTTTAAGGTTGTTGTTATAATTACTATTTTGTTGGTTGTGGGGGCTTGAACTCAGGGCCTGTCCCTGAGCAATTTTGCTCAAGGCTACTACTTTATCACTTTTGAGCCACAGCTCTACTTCTGATTTTCTTATGGCTAATTGGAAATAAGAGTTTCATGTACTTTCCAGCCCAGGCTAGCTTTGACCCACAATCTCAGATCTCAGCCTCCTGAGTAGCTAGGATTACAAGCATGAGCCACCAGCTTTTTAAACTTTCCAAAAAGAAAAAAAATCCAAATTTTATGCATAGGACAAAAAATTGTATCCTGTATATTACCCAGCTCTTGGAAAAGCCTTGGACTACAAGTAACAAAGACCACAGATTGCCGTTCCATTGCAGAAATTTGTTCTAGAAAGCACTTGAGAGCAAAACTAGCTACAAAACAAAACAAAACTATTTTTTAAGTCTATGGGGGGAAAACCAATTTGAATTAATTCGAATTTGAGCAGGATCAAAATGTAGAGAAGACTGATTCTATGTGGTAAGCTTATTAGCTTCAATGAAACGTTTCTTCTGAAACACTGATTTTTAGTCTCCAAAGTTGCTTAGTTACAGCTTGAGAGACATAGAAGACACAAGTAGCAGCATCAGAAAGACAGGCACATGCGGTGTGCCTGCCAGTGGGCAGAGCAGTGCCAGATGACTAGAAAAACAATGCTAAAAGGCATCTGCTCCAAGCCCCACACTAAGGACCTAGCATGACCTTTTCAAACATCAGCACTGATTGACTCAGTATGTATTTACTGAAAGCCTACTAGTAATTCCAGGTGCTTGGGCTATAAGCATGAGATAGAACATAATTTCCACCTGGCGATGAAGCTTTTAAATAATTATCTGATAAATGTGGACTTGTCTCTTGGATTCAAGACTGAATTTGTCCTCATGTTTAAGTTCCTCTTGCACAGGACAAGAGGGGAGAAATCCCATGGAAAACAATCCTAGCTCTCCTGCTTTCTGGCTGACTTCAGAGGCTGGGAGGTTTATGGGGCTGGGTGGGCTGAGGTAAAGAGCCAGCATTTCAGGGCTGAGCATCTGAGCCTTTGCTCACAGGCCTGAGGGTATTTTCCACAGCTGCCAGCTCATCTCACTCTCAATTATACTATCCCCACTGAGCCTGAAGGTGGTCTTGTTCTATCTCCCTTATTATTGTTTCTAAAATTGTGTGTATGCATGCCCATTCACAAATATGTTCAGAGAACAAAAGTGACAACTTTAGGACCTGAGGTGATAGCAGTGATGATGGTCAACATCAGAGGAACACATTCTCTCCCCGCCTGCTCTGACACAGAGGACTCTGCCTAACGAAGCTCCCAGTAACACTCACTTTCCATACCCCTGCCCCAGGTCTCCCCAAGAGGGAAAGGAATTCAGAACCATTTCAGACCTCCTCAGGGAACTCCTGTGTCCTAAGGACCTGTCACTGTGATGTACGGGCAAAATGAAAAAGGTTCCCACTTGGACACTGAAAGAACTAAAGGAAATATTGCATTTTGATCTCCCATACCAAAGCCACATGAACGGTAAATTCTACTCCGATGCCAACAGATGCGATCAGGATGACCACAGGCACAGCGCTAAGCTTGATTCCAATGAGGCCCATCATGCCGAAGAGCTCAACTGTCATCAATGCCAGGACCATCACCTTGAAGAAGACACACAGTCATCGGTGAGGGGATACACTGCACATGGCCTTGCCTGCTAATCTGGCCTTATTTCAGAGCAAGAACAGAGAACCATCTGATACCCAAATACCAAAGTACAAACTCGCTTTTACTTTGGACAACTGTCCTTTGAAGCTTCCTACTTCAAGTTCTTGCTGGGAAGGGAGACTCTGGGACAAGCAATTTGTAAGATGGAAGGAGGAACACATGAAAACAAAGTTAAGTACTCTCTCAATTGTTTTTCTATATGTCTGTCCTTGATAGCAAAGCATGACTGAGACTATGCCACTGGAACAATCCAGAAAGAATTATATAGTCATGGACTCATCATGTGTGGGTTCTATATCCATAGATTCAACCAATTGTGGATTGAAAATATTTGGGAAGAATAAATCTCCACATATATTGAAAAGGTCATTTTTTTTCTTCTCATTATTCCTAAAACATACAGTATAGCAACTATGTATAACATTCACTGCATCAGACATTGTAAGTAACCTAGAGAGATGTGTATAGTTCCTATATAAAGGCCATGTTGCTTTATATAAAGGACCTGTGCATCCAAGGGTTTTGATATACACATAGGAGTCCTAGAACCAATACTGGAGACAGCTACAACTTAAAACAAGTGTCTTAAGCATCAGTAACTGTTCTATCATAACTAAGTTGAAATATTGTGTCTGGTTGCCTCACCCTGAAGAAAACTGGCAGGACAGGGTAGATAAAGGTTCTTATAAAGGAGTAGCCTTTGTTGGAGAACTAACAGGCTAAGTGAAGAAAATTTGGGAGCAGGCTAATGGGAAAGCTGTCAACAGTAGATGCGTGTCACATTACAGGGTTGCTGTGCTTTGAAGAAATGAGGAACAACTGGGGTAGACAAAGCAGACCCTTAAATGCAAGGAACAGCTTTCCTTTGCCCTTCATCTTCTTTGTAAACGTTTGTAGGGGAATGGAAAAACAGTCTGTGAGGAAGACTTTGGTGTTTCTTGGGCCAAGGGGAAACAAATACAAATATCTACCCAATTCACTTTACACATGGGGAGTAACGGGGGAAATGATCATTCTTCCTCAGGGTGGGCAGTGGGTGGAGGTAGAGGTCGGTGGAGAATAATGAAAGATGGACGATGTCCATGGTTTAAGTGCTGTGAAAATTCCTGCAGACTAAACATTTACCTTTCACATACCTGCTGTTGCCCAGACTTATGGTGCAGAAACAAAATCTGCTCTGTTTTTGTAATTTTGGCATTTTAAAGGCTATACCACAGTTTGTGGAATTCAACCGCTGCCATTTTATTAGACTCTACACGAGACTCACTTCATGTCTGAGAGGAATTTGGGGAAAGGACGCCTCAAAATAGATTATTAGCAGCAACTGATTCTTTCTTTCTCTCTCTCTTTTTTTTTTTTGGTCAGTTGTGGGTCTTGAACTCTGGGCCTGGGTGCTGTCCCTCAATTCTTCAGCTCAAGGCAAGTGCTCTACCACTTAAGCCACAGTGCCACTTCCAGTTTTCTAGTGGTTTATTGTAGATAAGACTTTTCCTGCCCGGGCTGGCTTTGAACTTAGAACTGTGATCCTCAGATCTCAGCCTCCTGAGTAGCTAGGATTATAGGCGTGAGCCACGGGCATCTCTTTTGATTCTTTTCTCCAGGGATCAATGCACCTCTAAGATCCTTTCTCCCCCATATACTTGCACCCTAACTTCTCCATGGTTCTCTGGGATGGGGTCACAAAATGACACTTCAAAATTTCCAAAGATTGGGCTTTTTTTTTTTTTGCTTTATATATCTTTATTTAATAAATAAATGCTCAGAACTATTAGGGAAAGTGTGCCTTACAAATCCCATATATTGTAGACACGTTTGAAAGCTGTAGGGAGAAGGGAACAGAAGATTATGGCCATTTGAAGCTCTACCTTCACCATGAGCCTCGCCGCCTCAGGTAGAATAAATACATTACAGATGATGCAATCTATATAACCCTCTTCCAAAGGCCCAGACATAAACAAAACTTCCTGGCTGCAGAAAGAGCTATGCTGAAAGGAATGGAATCTGACTTCCTTAAAAGACCCTTATAATAAACTTACAATGATTCCGGCCGTCCAGGGGTTCAGCAGGAAGACGGCGCACACGAGGAACGTGCAGGCCAGGACCACACTGATGGCCAGCAGCAGCCAGTGGCGCAGGCTGATGTACTGCTCCCAGAAGAGGAAGGGGTAGCCGTTGGGGTAGCTGGAGAGCCCCAGGCTTGTGTAGTTGTTGCAGATGGTTCTTACTTTTTCAATGGCTTCCACAAAGTCTGAAGTGTCTCGCAGGCCGTTGAGGTAGAAAGGGAACTGAGCATATTCGATTGGTTCTGCTGCAGGGACTGGACAGACAGAAAACACCAGGTTACAAGATGGCCTGCTGTGAAGTGTTGTCTCCTGGCTGTAATTCTATAACGACAATGAAAACACGAAAGAACTCTGCAAGAAGACGGACTGACTGTTCTTTTTTCAACATCAAGGAAAAGCAGTAAATGTCACTGGGTGTTTATAATGTTCATATTTGCTGTGGTATTTTGTAAACAATAATCAAGTTTTTTGGTGAGGGGGAGTAATGGTGTAAGACAGAGGGTCCGTGATCTCTGTATTTCTTTTTTTTTGTGTGTGTGGGGGGGGGGGGGGGGAGGGGGGTCCAGTCATGGGGCCTGAACTCTGGGCCTGGGCACTGTCCCTCAGCTCTTCAGCTCAAGGCTAGCGCTCTACCACTTGAGCCACAGCGCCACTTCCAGCTTTTTTCTTTTTTCTTATGTGGTGCTGAGGAATCGAACCCAGGGCCTCAAGCATGCAAGGCAAGCACTCTACCACTGAGCTACCTTCCCAGCCCCTCGGTATTTCTTTTAATAAACTTTTTATTAATAATCCACAAGTGATCACTGATTTTGACCGGTCTAAACACTTCAAGACTCAAGCAACATTTTCTCATCTCACTGACAAATATGAAAATTCTATGTTCAAACTGGTGCCCTTACTCATTTTTAAGAACTAAATAATTCTAGAGTCGTGCTTTGCTGAGAAAAATGCTTTACTTTCTTATCCTTTTAGTGACCTAACCAACTTAAACCTTCCTCACTTCTTTTCTAATGCCATGCTAAGTCTTCAGCAATGAGGCAAAATCCTTCTACAACAAGCATTTAGTTACTGCCGTTGTGTGTTCCAGACCCTTTGGGGTCATTCAGTTGACTTGCTAAACATGATTTGCCCTATTATAATCTCAACTATAAATTTTCATTAAGACAAGCCTTGGCTGCTTGCCACAAGGCTCTGGGGTTTAGATACCGGGAAGCACAACCCGCTAGCTGCCCAGCCATGTTTGCAAAGGGACCCGTCTTTTCTCACGTCTTCTCTTGGCCCAATGTCCAAAGCATACGCTGCTACTAAGATCTCTATCATAAATGCAAATTAAATCCACACAGAACCACCTTTCAAACTCCAGGCTGAGAGGTGAAAGGAAGAGGACACTGTTGTATACAGACTTTTCTGTTCCAGTTTAAACAGCTTTGACAGAGTACAGGTGCTTGGTGGCTTATAGGAATGACCCAATGTGCCAAAAATCCCTTCAACACCAGAGTTGACAAAGTTAAGATAAACATATAATCCCCAGCGATAAAACTCTGCAATAGTAAAATAACACTCAACCTGGACGCCTCCCCGACTTTCACAGGGAACAGCTGGCATTCAGAAGAGATGCCTGATGAACGTCTTAAGAGCTAAAGCTACAAAAGGAGATTAGAGACTCTTATTTCTCAACGAGATAGAGTGTGGGGCTGTATTCCATTACACATTCTCATCTGTCTCGCAGAGTTTTAAACTAAAAGAAATATATTGTTCTATTTACACTTTTGAACCCTGGGTAGTGTCAACGAGTGAAGCTGTTGCTGAGCTTTGAGGAACGGGATGAGGCACCTTTGGGGAAGCTCCCAGGCCCGTCAGAACGAGTGCTACTTACTTCTTAACCTTGTTTCTGGCATATAGTCAGCTTTGTCGTGGACCCATTCAGGTCGATGGGGCCGGATGTTGGCCTGGGAGGCAGCGTAAGCAACAGGGTCATTGCTGACCCAAGCCGTCAGGTAGATGTAGAAAGCACTGGGATTAATGATACCATCTGCATCCACCAGACGCTGTTTAGTCAACTACAAAAGAGCAGAGGAAAGAGGTCTTTCAGAGCAGGGTGTGGGATAAATAAATGCACTTCTGCCTGGAGAGCAAAACTGCTTTGGCCTGAGCTTTGGACCTTTAATTCCAACAACAGACAACAGAACGCCCATGGCTTGAGAGTGTCATCAGAACACCTCTGATTGCTTTCAAAATGCACGCATTGGGGGACACACTCATCAAGTGTGTTTATAATGAACACACGGTTCTGCAGATGGCCCCAGAATTGGCTGAACCAATTAAATCTGAATGCTAAAAGACTGTCTGCAGCCAAGGCGGAGAATGAACAATCTGGAGAAACATATTTATAGGAGGGGAAGGGGGGAAAAACCTGGCAAGAATCCCCATACACGTCTGTGTGCAGTTAACCTCTGTTGTTAACACTGAAGGAAATGCCACCCAGTAAATGGAGGAGAGCTATAAAAATAAAACAACATCTGTATAAATTTTGCTAACACTAGCCTCCTATGACCTGTGTATTCAAAAAAAAATGTCCATTGCCAGAAAGTGGAAAAGACTTAACACAAAGCCATGGCCCTTCTGGGTAATCAGATTTCTGAGAGGTGGTCAGGCTTAGTAAACTGAATCCTCTGCAGGGCCAAATGTGCTCCCTCTATAGTAGGTCTTGTGGACTTTACTCAGGCTTGAGACAATGTGAGATTGAGTGTGTGTATGTATATTTTAGATACACTGGAAAAAAAAAAAGATTTTTTTTCCTGTTTATTTTAGATTTTGGGCCTTGTTCCAACACGGTATTTTTTCTTCTTCTTCTTTCTTTCTTTTAAACAAAATGAAAAACACCAGTTCACCAGGAAGGGGAGGGGGGTGGAGAACGGGACACAAGAGAGGGAGAGAGAAAGAGTGAGAGTGTGTGTGAGTGTGTGTGTGTGTGAAGGAAGAAAAAACATGGAAGAGAGGGAGAGAATTAGACTTCAGGGATCTGGATTCAATTAATCCACAGGGTGCATAACAACTGTATGTCTTCAAATCGTCTCTGGAACTACACAGTGCAGCTCACTGCCTTCATGCATGCAGCATACTTTTCTCCATCCCAGGCAGAGGAAATGACATCCAGGGCTCTGGCCCAATCATATTCATCCCACAGGGCCCTTGGTCTCTAACTCTATCTAACCCAGCTCCCCGGGCATGCCCCTGCTACGGTCTCTCAAGCAAGCTCCTGTACCCACACCCTTGTCAAACCTGACAGCACTGCACACTGCTATAAAGCACTTAGTTTCACACTCCATAATAACTCTGAACAATGTACTTTGTAAATCTGTCACTTTAAATGCCAGCAGAAAAGGGGGAGACAATAAACAGAGCTGCTAAGAAGATCATTAGCATGACGTTTTCTGCCCCAAGGTAAAAGCAAGCAAGCTACAGAGAGCAAAGAGAAGAGGCTCTGTGGAAGCCAGGCGTTGCCATGGGCCCATTTGAAATCACAGATTCCTAACACATCCTAAACACTACTAAGGAATCAAAACAGATTCACTGGAATCCAAGTGTCCCGAAGAAGATGCATATGTAGTGGGGGAATATGACTATCTAGTAGCAATGGCTCTCATCACTAAGAGACGTAAGCAGAACGGTGAGTCTAATTGGCTTCCAAGGGTTTGCACTTCTCCCTTCACTTGGCTCATGACTTGGTGATCTGACTGTACTCAGAATCCATTCCAAGGGCCTGGGTGACCCAAAGAAATTAAGTAACAAATCCTCCACATCATTCTAATAACCTCTTCAATCTTCTAAGAAATCTCCCTACCCTAGATTCTGTTCAGATGACTACCGCTCAACAAATCCATCTTCCAAAGTCTGAAGAATGTATCAAGACTACTATAGTATCAAGTATTGGAATTTGAAACTTTAAGATGACTTAGCCCTTCTATCAGGTACAAAAATCTGCAATGTCCCCATCAGTACTTTACTGGGTAGTGTCAACTACCCAGGTAACACCTGTCCCCAACTTGACAGAGAAGCCAAGTATGGTGTCTTGGTTTGTCTGAGATCGCACAGTTAGCTGTGATATGAAGTGAATTCAAGCAAGAGATTCTGCCTGCCATCTCCTAGGTCTCTGAAGGACAAAGATTAGAACCACTGCTATCAACCCATCTTATTCAAGGCAGCTGCCCAGACCTCTGCTCCCCAGTATCCTGGGAGACACCCCTAGAGGTTTTGAATGGTGACAATACCTGACTGATATCGATGGGCTTATCTCGGCTGCCGGTTTGTACCAGGAGTTTGTAGGCCAGGACTCCATCATCTGATCCATTTTTGTAATTGTTTGGCATGATTTTCCCAGTTTCCCAGTCACTGTCAAATGCATCCTGAAGTCCTAAAAAAAGCAAATGTGTGTAACACATTACAACTCTTAACTAGAATACCCTCAGCCTTAATGATGTGGGCTGGGAACAGCAGGCAGGGCAGGGGACTGATCTGTGTAGTCTACTTTCCCTTTAAGCAATACTTCTGGAATTTTCATGAATGAACTACAGGTTGCTTATTAATCATTGCTCCGAAGCGGGAAGGAAACAGACATGCATATTTTCCTTTAAAAAATAATATAACTGTTTCTTTTCCCCAATGACTATTCCAACAAGGGAAAGCAAGAGAGGAGAGAAAGACACACACCAGGCTCATTAACCATTTCATGTAACACAGGGAGCCATGCCACGAGTTCTTCGATATAACCAGAAATTCCACTCAGAGGGACAAAAACAGTCAAGCTCCCAACTTCAAACAGCAAGTCAGCTGCTTCTGGAGCCCAGGGTGAGTGAACACGATTCTGTCAATTTGATCCATCTGTTCGACTTGTGGAGCTAACACAAGCTGTGGGATCCGCTGCCAGGTTGTGTAAAGATCACAGCCAACACCTATTCACTCTCAACTGCTCCCTGCCTCTCTGCCACCCTTCCTTCCAAGTGGGGGTGTGGAGGACAGAGAGGGAGAGAGAGGGAGAGGGAGGGATCCCATGCATGGGGAAATACCTCACAGGGTAAATTTGGATCAGATTTTGAGAACAGGAAGCCACAAGCCAATACAAGGAGGCTCTGTGAGAACAGATGACAAACCACAAGCCTGGGGCAGGGGAAGGAAAGAGCTTTCTGGGCTTGGGGGATGGGTGAGCCCACCAGTCCACCACACACAGCTGCGCTTGGCCTCTGTAATCAAAACCATCATTACAAACCTGATGGTTTGGCTACAGCTGTAAAGAGATAAGCGTGTTGGAAGAGAAAACAGGGCCCTGGTGACCCGGCCTTAGGCTCTGAGTGCTGGCTGGTGTACATACTCCCTGACACCCCCTTTCCCTGCCCCCCCCAGTCACCTCCCAAGTAGATCTTCCAGGCACAGCAGCACAGGAAACCCCCACCTTGGAACAAGTTGGACACGTGTGGGGTTGGTTAGACTGGTAAGAAGGGAGAAGGTTTTACTTCATTTCAGGACATGTCTTGGGTGACTTCAAAGACCAAGAAAAAAAAAGATGTGGTTCCATGAATAGTTAAAACATTTGGGGGCTGAAGCAGACTCTTTTTCCTCTTCCTCCTCCTCCTCTCCCTTTAAAAAACAACCCTTCTCTCTGACATTGCTGTGGGCATTGTTTTTATGTGTACTATTTAGGGAGTGAGGACCCTGGGCTCAGTGGTAAAAGGAGGGCCCTGTTATGGGGTGGGTGAGGAGAAGGCAGGAGAGACCACCAGGATGGCTGCTGGCCTCCCACCCCTCAGACAGTTTTTCATAGCAAGGCATGCACACAAACAGTACCGAACAGATGTTGTTTTATGACCTCAAGTGCCCCCCCCATCCTGTTTTTGGAATTTTTTTTTAAGCAGAGAAGAAATAACAACTGATCCCCAATTCCTTACCCCAGACCCCCCTCCCCCCTCCCCCCAGTGTGTCCTGGTCTGTTTCCTAAGTCATAGTATTTTCATCACTTGGGGACTTTCACTGTACTTGAACATTTTTTTCCCTCCTGATCTGCTTGCTACTCTGAGAGCAGCTCATGCTTAGCAGGCCCTGGGTTATTCTGGACCTTCCATGCCTATTACCCCTTGTTCAGTTCCAACGGCCACCTTGTGAGGCAGGCCCATTGGTATTATTAGTCCCACTTTATAGATGAGGAAACTTTAGAGGCTTAGAAAGTGAAATACTTCATGAAGACCACCTAGTCGGTAAGTGTTGGAGCTGACCAGAGTCTGCGTGAACTACTTATTGCCAGAATCATCTCCAGAATGCACTATGGTGAATCACTGGATGCAGGAATGACACTGGCAAAGGGAGCTCTGCTGCCAACATCATTTGGTGGCAAACAAGGTTCCCAAAAGTCAAGAGTGTATTTGTTTAAAGATATATTTACACACAAAAGCTCTGCTATACCTTAAGGTATACCCAAGGAATAAAGATCAGATTTGAGGAGGTCAGTCCTGCTGATCATTCAGCTTAAGGCATCTCTGTGGTGTTGGTCCTAGAGGTACGATTTACTCTGCCAGTGGGTCAAAGATGGATTTTGTGGAATGCTTGTCTTTTCATAACTGGTTTAATATTTTCTGGCTTACTACACAGAAGCTCAAGGACTCATGCGCTTGACTGAGTACAGGCACAATATATAACACAGGACACAAAACAAAGACAAAATTTGCTTCTGTTGCCTCTGAACATTTTATATTCCAACAAATGTATGATGTCCAAAAGAACTAGTAGTTCTTTTTTTTTGTTTGTTTGTTTGTTTGTTTTTGGGTCTGGTTGTGGGGCCTGAACTCTGGGTCTGGGCGCTGTCCCTCAGCTCTTCAGCTCAAGGCTAGCGCTCTACCACTTGAGCCACAGCGCCACTTCCGGCTTTTTTCTTTTTGCTTATGTGGTGCTGAGGAATCGAACCCAGGGCCTCAAGCATGCAAGGCAAGCGCTCTACCACTGAGCCACCTTCCCAGCCCAGAACTAGTAGTTCTTATCTATTATATAGCAAAACCTAAAATTTTAACTAGAATGTTCCTCATTATAAGCATTTGATATTGAAAATAATTTTCTTGCTGTAAAGTTTTAGGCCAAAAGAACTATGCAAATATAATGGCACTTTAAAAAGACAACATTAAGCCAGACACTGGCAGACTCAGACCTGTAATCCTAGTTAATCAGGAGGCTAAGATATGGGGATCATGTTTTGAAGCCAGCCCAGGCAACAAAGTGCGTGAGACTCTCTAATTAGCTACTCAAAAACCAGAAGTGGAGCTGTGGCCTGAAGACGTACAGCGATAGCCTTGAGCAAAAAGTGCCCAGCCCCTGAGTTCAAGCCTCCTTCCCCAAAGGCAACATTAATATAAATATTGTTTGCATAATTCTATAAAAATTTTAATGATTTATGCAAGATGCACAGTATGGCTTTATCTTCCTCTCATGTATGTTTAAAATTGACATGAGACTGTTTCTATATTAACCACTATATATTTTTAGAAGTAAAAGAATTATTATGTTGATAAAGAGCCATAGGATGACATAGTTTAAACGGAAACTCCGTTTTTTAAAAAAGCAACAAAAGCAGGGCACTGGTGGCTCACATGTGTAATCCTAGCTACTCAGGAGGCTGAGATCTGAGGATCAAGGTTCAAAAACAACCCGGGCAGGAAAGTCCGTGAGACTCATATCCAATAAATCACCAGAAAACCGGAAGTGGTCCTGTAGCTCAAGTGGTAGAGTGCTCTCCTTGAGCTGAAGAGCTGAGGGACAGTGCCCAAGCCCAGAGTTCAAGCCACATGACTGACAAAAAAAAAAAAAAAAAAGCAACAAAACAAAACAAACTAGGAGGAGCTGGTGGCTCACACCTATAACCTTAGCTACTCAGGAAGCTGAGATCTGAAGATTATGGTTTGAAGCCAGCTGGGCAGGATTGTCTGTAAGACTCTTATCTCCAATTAATGACCAAAGAGCTGGAAGTACAGCTGTGCTTGAGTAATAGCGCACTAGCTTTGAGCAAAGAAAGTTTGGGGATAGAACTCAGGCCCTGAGTTCAAGCCCCAGGATTAACATCCTCCCTTCCCCCCACCAAAAAAAAAAAAAAATCAACCAAAACAAACAAAACATCACCATCACCACCAACAACAAAAACAACAAAATGCATCTCAATATTTGGAAGTAAATTGACTTAAGGATAATTGCTTCCTTGAAGGAAATACTCAGACAAACAATTGAAGGCCTGTAGATGTCTAAGAAGCCAATACCCCTCATATCTGTATGTAGTGCTCTGCTTAACCTCTTAAGGGGCAAACACAGAGTTCCAAGGCTGGCTGAGACTCTGACTTGTTGGCATGCATGGATCTAAATTGGTCTAGTTGGGTGCTGTTCACCTAGCAGTCAAAACAAGATTTAAATGCACCTTAAAAATAAATATTTGCACATCTGATTATCTTTAGGTCTTTCAAGGGAAGCAAGTATAGAGAGCATCTACAATGCCATCTAAGAAGATTAGCCCTCTGCATTACCTAGAGACAATGCTCCATGCCCCCTTCCCAGCCTTGGCCTAATACACCATCCATATTGAATGTCTAAAGCAATGGCTGAAGACACTGAAGCACATTCTACAATAACCCTCCTCTGCTCAATCACTGATCTCCTCAGCACACAGCAGATCTCTTTGTCACTTGTGGCAAGTTATTTGCATGTCTTTAGTGAATGTGTAGAAAATGAAAAGCAGGGAATCTCCCAACTGTCTGGTTCTCTTACCCTCATAAAAACCAGGGCTGTCACAATGAAGTATAAAAAATTAAGACTTAGAAAAAAATTCAAGTTAACCTTATGAGAATGTTAAAAAGTAATAATAATAATCATGTCATGTTCTCTTAAACTTCCTCCAAAACAAAATTCATGTGTGAACAAAATTCCCCTAACTGCAAGGAAACAATTTAGAAACTATACTGAACCAATTTCAATCATATTCAAGTTGTTTACCATCTCATGAAAATTCAGAGGAAAATCAGCTGCCTAATCTTTCCATAAAAGTATATTGACTTAAGACCAAAAAAGGCACTTAAATCTGTGTTTAGACAAGCTTAATTAAGTGGGAAATTAAGACAATCATTTAGATAATCTAAGCCAAAAAATGTTGAGGCCATAATTATTTGGGTATTCAAGTAAAAGCATTTTTGCTTGAATTGTGTGGATAATTATCCTGATTCTATACTTCATTTTGCATGTGTCAACACAGAATAACTGAACAGATGTTCTTAGAATCACTGAATACATTTATATTCTGTCAGCAGTTAGGAGCAAATTTAGATTGTTTTCCCCCACTGAGTTGACTAATATTTCCTAGAAATGTTCCTGAAAACCAAGGAATCAAGAAATGCATTTTAAAGCAGCATTTGATCACTTATGAAATACAAAAATGTAACTAAGGAAAAATAAATGTACTGCATTCACCAAATCAAAAGACGGTCAAAATAAACCAGAAGATAAAGCATGAACTCTGGATGATAATGATGTCAGTGTAGGTTCATTGACTAAAACAGGTGCTTCACAATGGGATGAGTTCATGAGGGAGCAGGTAGGAAGCTGTAAGGGAGAGGTTTGAGAAATGTCTGTACCTTCCTCTCAATTTTGCTTTGAATTCAACATTGCTCTAAAACTAAAGTCAGTTATATATTTATAATATATGCATTTATTTTTGGTGCCGTTACTGAGGCCTGAACTTAGGACTCCAAGCTCTCCTTTTAGCTTTTGTGCTTAAGGCTGCCACTCTGTCACTTGTGTTACACTTTCACTTCTGGGGTTTTAGCTGGTTGATTAGAGATAAGGATCTCTTGGGTTTATCTTCCCAGGTTTGTTTTTGGACCTGAGATCCTCAGATCGCAGCCTCCTGTGTAACTAGGATTACACTCATGAACTACTGGTGCCAGGCTTATTAAAATTTTAAGATGGTCAAAATATTGAATTATATCCATTACTGACTCTAAATCTCCGTACAGTAGGTTATCATTTGACAGAGTCAGCCCAGAAATGCCTTCAACACGTTAATTTTACTACACTACACTAGCCACTATACCAAAAGAAAGAGCAACAGACTCCATATTTTATAAGATACTTCCCGCCTTCCTATACTAGCCACTATACCAAAAGAAAGAGCAACAGACTCCATATTTTATAAGATACTTCCCGCCTTCCTATACTAGCCACTATACCAAAAGAAAGAGCAACAGACTCCATATTTTATAAGATACTTCCCGGCTTCCTATGTTCATAAATTCTTACAAAAGTTCCTGAGTCACTCGTAGTTATACAGGTGAAAGCCAGATATGGGAGGGCTGCTGCAGAAACAGCCTCTGTAAGAATCTTAAGCAATACTTACACGTCAGTGAAATGTGTCAGGGTTGTGTTCAGATCTTACACACTAAGAAAGGACCTGCAGGAAGTAAACGATGCAAAAGATCCAATGATGACAAAGATGGTGACTAAAGAAGACAGACAAATGGCAGCACTTTACCTTGGAGCCAGTCTCTGAAGTAGTGTAGCCACATTTTAGGAAGTTGTTTGTTTTCCTCCAACATGACATACTTCACATTACTGAAACTCTTGTGAAGATCGTAAAGTAAGTGCTGGATATTAGGATAGTCTGCTTTCTGGGTGACTATATACATGTTGTAGAAAGAAAAGTATTTGAACTGTGCAGCAATAAAGTCATATTCTCTGGTTTCCCGAGGGACAATGTCTGTCAGGTCCAGCCCGTCTCTCACTCGAGTGGTCCCATAAAGGCTGACACCTAGCAAGCCCAGGAAGAGCAGGATCACCACTACCTGTAACAGAACCAGAAGCACAAGATCAGACCCCAAGGAAGATCCTAAATTCTTCCTTGACAAACATTAGCTGTTTATTTTATTTTACTATAAACTGCACTGGCAGATTTAACAGGCAGCATTCATTCCCCCAAACGAGGGGCGGGGGCAGGTAGGATCACAGCAATTACATTTTCAAATACCCTCACAAATAAAAATGTTCATAATGGAAAGAGATGACCTAAATTCCTAGAAAAACTGGCTGCGTAGAATTTCAGTCATGCAGAAATGCACTCATTATATGCAAGCCTTGCATGGATTGGCTTTGAGGACTGAAGGGTAGCACACTTGTAGGTTTTTTGGTGTTTTTTTTTTTTTTGGTCGGTCATGGGGTTTGAACTCTGGGCCTGAGCGCTGTCCCTCAGCTCTTCAGCTCAAGGTGAGCGCTCTACCACTTGAGCTATAGCGCCACTTCCGGTTTTCTGGTGGTTTATTGGAGATGATTGGTACCAGATCTAGGCCTTCAATTCAACTGTCCCTTAGCTTTGTTTTTGCTCAAGGCTGGTACTCTACCATTTGAGCCACAGTTCTACTTCTGGCTTTTAGGTTAACTGGAGATAAGAGTCTCACAGATTTCCTGCCTGGGCTGATTTCAAACTGCAGTCCTCAGATCTCAGACTCCTAAGCTTTCAAGCATGAGCCCTTTTGTTTGTTTAAACATTGTGAATGAAGAAAAGTAGATCGCAGCAATCTGATAAGTTTCAAAGGAGCTGGTCTGGTACTTTTCAAAGATAGGATGAAGAATTTGATGTGGTGGCAGGTTACCTTGGCCTTTGGTTTCAAGAGGAATGGAGCATAGTGCTTCTCTGCAAAGGACGAGAGAGTCCACTTGGTGCAGGGGGGCTCAAGGCAGTGGAGGCTGGAGTCGGAGAACTGGGAGAGCAGGTCCCTGGTGGAGCTGGTACTCTCGGGGCTCTGGCAGCTGAGGGTGTCCTGGGTGACAGTGACGGGCTGTACAGATATCTCAGAGCGCGGCTCGGCAGTGGTATAGTACACATGCGTGTGAGGGTCGTACTCTGTGCGAAGCTGGACAGTGGACTGCATGGTGATGTGTGTTTCATGGGCGAAGCTGTGGCTGCTGTAGGGCGGTGGGGGACTGTAGCGGGTGTTACTGTGAGGCTCCGTGTAGGCCTGAGGTTCAACCTGAATCACTCTGCTGACACAGGGGCTGAAAGATGGGGAGTACATTGCAATGTATGGCTGCAACAAGGAGACTATGCCTTCATCTTTGTCAATGACAGATACTTCCCAGTTACATAGACAGTTTAACTCTGCAGACATCACCTAGTTGATGGAGTCAGAGACATAACCTGATTTCAGGGAGGCCAAATGAATGGTTAATCCTCAGTTTAGCTTGCTTGATGATGATGAACCCTTTCAAAGTCTAATCCCAACCCCCCCAAAAAAGAAGACATAAAAAGCAAACAAAGCAAAAACAAAAAGCAAACCACCACTAACCTATGGTTTTTCTAGGTAAGTGGTTTTTTTCATGCTTGCTCTTTGCTAATCAAGAGAGCTACCAAACACTCCCACCAATCAGCAGTACTGGTTGATGAAAGAGGGGGGGTGGGGAAAGTCTTCTCACATCACAATCTCAAAGATGGTGAGAAGATACGTTTGGAAAAGGGAAGACATATGGGGCCCAGAAGTCCCCTAGGAGCATCCTCTGTCCAGCATCTCCTCTACTTCCATCCATAATGCCAGTCTAAATCCTTCTTGCTACATTCTCTACTAAATCCAAGGATTCTTCCAACAGCATCCCTCAGTACCCAACCAAGAAAGGCCACACACAGCAGCCTGAAAAATGTACCTTGTAAAGCAGCAGAAAATATCCAATCTCCTGTCCTCACGTCGATATAAATCCATACTTAGAATTGCAGGAAAAATGAGCAGCACCATGGCAAAATTAAACACCACCACCACCGCAGCCTGGGAGCAGGAAAAAAAAAAAAAAAAGCTTAGGCCACCAATCACAACATTGCTTTGAAAATAAAGATGCTTTTTTTTTTTTGGGGGGGGGGGGGTCGGTTGTGGGGCTTGAATTCAGGACCTGGACACTGTTCTTGAGAGCCTCTTTGTGCTCAAAGCTAGTGCTCCACCACTTGAAATATAGCGTCACTTCTAGTTTTTGAATGATTAACTGGAGAGAAGAGTCTCATGGAGACTTTTTATGGTTTCGAACCATGATCCTCAGATCTCAGCCTCCTGAGTAGCTAGGATTCCAGGTGTGAGCCATTGGCATCCAGCTTAAAGATGCTATTAAACAGTGTTTTTCTTTCACCATCCTTCTGCACCAATTATTAAAGCAGGGGTAGAAGGTGGCATTTCTAGTGCACATCATTAAGAAACCCTTTCATTAAAATAGGATCCCATCATTCAGATCCTTTCTATTTTTAATCACTTGATATAGCAAAAATCAGCCTCTCTGTCTGGCTCTCTCTCTCTAACACACACACACAAACACACACAAACACACACACACACATACACACACGCTCACACAAACTGAACTTTTAACATCTGTTAGTAGCTTAACCAAATGCAATCTACAAAGGCAGAACAGAAAACGTGCTTGTGATGTTTTATTTCAAAACAGAAACATCTCCCTCCTTTTAGAGTATTTCTGAGAGTTTATGAAGCCCCAATTTTACACTTGAAATTTTGTACATAAAATGAATCAAGTATATCAAAACGTCACTTTTAAAACACAAAATAAAATTTCATATGCGTCCCCGGAGGTTGTAATCGGCACATTCCGAATAAGCCTCAAGGGTAGCATGTGGGGTGTGTGAGCAAGTAACTGCAAAGGTCAAGGAGAGTTAAGCAGAAAGAAATTCCTGTGTGTGATTATAGTACGTAGAATAAATAAGTACAGATTCAAAAGTCACTCCATAACCTAGAATAAACACGGGGCTAGATTCTGCAGTGCTTCAGCAAATCTCCTGCTGACCTAGTAAAAATTACAAAATTGGCCTGTTCAGAGGGGAGTCCACAGAAGACAGCTGAAAGGGCTGTCCTGTTCAGAAAAGCAGGGGCAGACACATACAGGGAAAATGGAACTGGAATGCTAAGTAGCCAACAAATAATCAGAAATTCGTTTGAAAATTAAAAACTCGTAGGAGGTTTTTCAAAGGAGCTCTTCTGAGACCTTCTCAAACTGGGAAGTTGGCTCAGGACAACGAAAGAGAGAACCAGGTTATAACTGGTACTTAACAAAGCCAAAGAGAACTACACAAAAAAGGCTTTTGAAAGGAATTATGAATTTATGCTCCAGGTGAAATAGAAAGCCCAAATTCTGCAGAGATGCCTTTAAACTCCCTGTCAAGTCGACAAAACCATCTAAAAATGTCCTAACCCCTTTTAAGTTAGTCTGGAAAACCACTCATCAATTAAACCATATTGAGCATGTTAATCACCACTCGGATGTATGCCCAGGCACTTTTAAGACTGAACAGGTTATCCATGAGACAGATCCTCTTCAAAGTTTAGTAGGGTGCTGGGCACTAGAATACAAAGTAAAACAAATTCCTGCTCAAGGACTGACATAGCTAGAGCTACAAACAAGATATAACTGAGGCTGGTGAGTGTAATGATAAAAGCAGAACAGCTAGAGAGTGGAAGGGAGGGAGGGAAATGAGAGTGAGAAGAGAGAAAGAAGGCCTGGGTGGAGAGAGTGATCAGTCATGAAGCTGTGAGCAGGGTTTAGAGAGCAGGATTTAGATGCAAGTGGGGTCAGGCAGGTACAAGGAAGGGACAGATGTTTCACTAGAGGAAACAGGATAGGCCAAGAAGGGCATATACCTGGCTCGAGTCACTCAGTATCACCAGGAAAAACCATGCCCATGGGAGACTAGGTAGTTAATACATGATCCATTCAGTTCCCATAGCAAATGGGAGGCAGACATTATTTTTTCTTTTTCTTTTTGTTTTTTATTGGCTGTGGGGCTTCAACTGTCCCTGAGTTTTGTCTTTTGTTTTGTTTTGTTCAAGGCTAGCACTCTACCACTTTGAGCCACAGCTCCACTTCCAGTTTTCAGGTGATTAATTGGCAAGTCACACAAACTTTCCTACTGGGGCTGGCTTTGAACTACTATCACCAGATCTCAGCCTCCCGAGTAATTAGGATTATAGGCATGAGCCACCAGTGCTTGGGCCAGACATTCTTAATTACCATTCAGACTCTATTCCCTAATAAAGACCTTAAGGCTTAGAACAGAATGAATGTTGCCCGTCAGAAGATATCCAGTGAATGAGATGTAAAAGGGAAAGTGAGAACTGGGAGGACATCTGGTCACTTCCTGAGAGTGTGCTTAGCTTAGGTTAGGACTCCTGGCCACAGGGAATGCCAGGAAGAACAGGTGTGATGCTAAAGGAGATTCTCCAGAAAAAAACTGTCATCCTGGGGGCTGAATCCTGTTCAGCTTTTTAAAATTACAGTCATATTTACAATTCAGGAATGGATGAATAAACTCTAGGTTTCTCACTTTGGGCAGAAGTATAAGAGGAGGAGAGCAGAGACTAAACTGAAAAGCCACATAAACATATACAAGCTTGCACACGTGGCCTGGGTGCTGGTCAGGGCAACACAGAGGCTTTTCATAGGGGCTGGGAAATTTTTGATACCAAAGCCTCATCAATCAGAGAGCTCTGACAGGCATCTTGCTGTGCCTACTGAAAAGGAAATGCAGAAATGAGCGCAGACACCCAAAGCAACGTCCCATCTAACTTACTTTCTAGTGATATATTACATATATATGGAACAACATTTCCTGAAAACATTAGAACTTTGACATCTCCAAGGTCCACCACAGTAATAAAATAAAGATTCTCAGTAAGACAGAAGGGTCTTTGCAGAAGCCAAAGGAAGTTTAAAAATGTTTAAGCAAATCAGAAAAGATCTAAAACTATAAGTCAATTCTAGTTACTGATACTTAAAGAGAAATCTTCCCACTCCCAGAGTTTCTAAGGCAGCCCAGCTGGGACACTTGAAGAGGGATCCCAGTCAAAAATCTTTTACCAGGCTGGAGTAGAGCATTTGACCAATACGTATGAGGTCCTGTGCAAGCAAACCAATATCACTGGGCTAACCAGCAGAGCTCTAGTGCGGAATATTGGTCTAGAAAAAGTGGTATTTGGACAGATGAATGATGGCTGATAAAGTGTGAAGACAGTTTCTTCAGGGAGGAGGAAAGAACTTAGTATTATGATCTGGCTAGAAAATGGAAAGTTGCACAAGGAAATCTACAGGTTATATGGATTTATCTCTCAGCAGAAGCACTCTGGGTCTTTCCCTTTTGATGCTTAATTTTGTAGCATCCAGAAAATATAAACATGAATGAATACCCAGAGTCACAAGTTAACATAGTAAAGGACAGAGAAGCTACAAAATGGTCAGTCTTGAATACCAATAAATATAAAAAGAAACCAGGGTGGCATTTTTGATAGCCTAAAGGGGAAAAATGCATACTGACACTGTTTCTCTCCCCCTCCCCCTCTTTTCCTGACAAAGAATGAGCCACAGTATCTGGAAAGCTATCTGTTTTTTGTTTTTGTTTTTGTTTTTTTAATAAATGAGAACCTTTGGAAGCAGGAGAAGCAATTTTCTGAAACTGAAACAGCAATGTGGCAGAAATGCAAAACCAACAGTACTCATTTCATCTCTGTAAGGTGCTTACCTTAGGAGAATTTAGCGTACTGGATTTTCTAAAGGCTACTCCTCACAAGGAAAACTCATGTAGCTTTCAGACCACCACACCATGGGATACCATTAAAGGAGAGTTTGCCTTGATGAACCATCAGTATGTACTGAGAAAGGAAGGAGAGAATGAGAGGAAAAGAAAAAAAGGAGTGTGAGCAGATACAGAACAGAGCAGATATAAGACAGTGAGGGAAGGTAGTGGAAAGGATAAAGAGTGAGGAGAGAGGGTCCTACTGTGAAAAAACAAAATAACAAACAAGAAAAAATACTCCAGAGAAACTACTCAGTACCAGAACCTGGTGCTCCAAAACAAGGCTGGGATGGACAAGTGTCTGGCGCAGGTGCTGGCGTATGTAACTGGCGGTCTAAAGCCCCCCGTGCCATGAATGTCATGGGCATTTCACTTAGCTCTCCTATTACTAGAGTTGGAGATTTTTACTTTCCTTGTGTTTCAGTCTCAGATTCAGATTAATTTCATCCAGGTCTACTTGCTATTTCTTTTTTTATTTTTTATGACAAAAGTAAGTCCTTTTCTTCCAGGCCTAATGATTATGTTGACTCATCATTTTGACAGAATTCTAACAACAAAACAAAAACCCAATTCATCCTCTACTACTTTTTCTTTGTGGTCACAATCCTGAGGACTTCTTGGTAAGAGTGAATCTAGCAGAGTGAACTGGATGTAGTAACAACAATTTAAGAAGTAATACCAAGGGTGTTTCCTTCCACAGTTGGCTATCTCACTAGCCACACATTAGTATGCATGAGACATGAAAGAAAGCCAATATCCCTTTAATCTTCTTTAGAAAACAGCTGAATTTAATTCACAAAACTTCAATAATAACTTCTGACATTTAAATGCTAGGCAACTTTGGGTTTATGAAGGCCATGTTTCAACTGCTTAGGAATCTACTTCATCTGCCAGGGGCTAGGTGGCTTGTGCCTATAATCCTAGCTACTCAGGAGGCTGAGATCTGAGGATTGAGGTTCAAAGCCAGCCCAGGCAGAAAATTTTGTGAGACTTGTATCTCCAATTAACCACCAAAAAGCCAGAAGTAGAGTTGTGGCTCAAGTGGTAGAAGACAAACATTGAGCAAAATAAAGCTCAGTGCCTAGGCCCTGGGTTCAAGTCTCAGGACCAGCATAAATTAAAAAAAAAAGAAAATCTACTTAATCTGCTGATTGTTTTCAGGATTCCTGTCCTGAGTTTCAAGTAGCTTTTAGGCAATTCCAGGAACTTACTCAAAGCATTAACTGACAGTGGTCACATCCCACAGGAGGGAACTAGCTCTCCATGCTTATACAAGCTGTCTCCTTGGGAAAATACTCTTGATGCCTCTGGGTGTGAAAGGCTTAACTGGACAAGAGTGAGCAAAAAAAGCAGTCAACATCTTCTGCTCAAAACAATGAGAGGCATGTTCAATTTGCTTGATCAGCCTAAAAAGGGTGTAGGGAACCCAAAGGAAAGCGAAGAGGAGTCAGGAAGGAACACAGGAGGAAAGGGAGGCGGGTAACAAACCATGCAAGAAATTCTCCAAGGCAGAAAACAGGCAATATCTCTTTGTAGAATGCTATCTGATATTCAGTCTTTGATTATTGTCTAGTCTGAGCTACATACAACCTTATCTTCATACATCAGGAAATGTCTGCACAACGGTATTGGGTTGGGGCTACAACTGCCTCAGGGAAGACAGAAGAATATGTAGCAGGAGAACAGCAGAGGATTGTCCAGAAGCAGAGAGGGGGCTGCAATACGGATGATTCTGGAGGATGACACAGTGTGGCCCCTGGTCCCATTTGACTTGAACAACACAGCACAAGTCTGTACAGTAACAGATATTGGGATTATAGGGTCTGAAAGGAAGGAAAGCTTAGATCTTTTTAAGAAAGAATCTAAGTGTTATAGCTCAAAGCACCTAACCCACTGAGCAACGCCAAATACTGGCATGTGCTTTATTCCAAAGCAGTAGTAACATAAAACACCTGAGTCAAGAATAAGCAGACTGGGGATGAATAAGCAGACTGGGGATGCTGACTGCCAAGGTACTGCTCAGTATCATCACTTTGCTACTAGAAACTCACCTGGAGAGAGAATGCTCGCAGAGCAGGAATTGGGATTAACGCAGCCATAAAGAAGGCAGTGACATTGCTGATGGAAGTGAGGGCCACACTGGCTCCTGTGCGCTTGAGGCACTCCCCGGTCCTGTCCTGAGGAGGAGAAATCACGGCGCTGAGAGCTGCACTGGGCCTGAGCTGCCCCTTACAGCACACACACAGCATGGACAACATGGACAGCATGGCAAAAGAACACAAGTATAGGTTCTAACGCTGACATTAGAAGACAAGCATTAGGTACATAGCTGCCTTAACCCTGTCACCAGCATTTTTCAGTGCAACCTCTGTTGTCAAGTTTTCTTTAGCTTGGTAGCTAAAGCTCAAAGTTGTGAGATAACAATTTAAGTGGAGACAAACAGAGATAACCTCAAGGTAGCAAATGTGGGCTATGGAAAAGGGGTAGCAATTAGTGCATAGCATTGCATTAAAACACTCAAAGGGAGCATTGGGGGGTCCCACTGCTAACCCAGGTCCTGTGATTCTTCCTGCTTGTTTTATTTGTTGTCTGACTAGGGGCTGAACTATTTCCTGAGCTACATGGGGAAAAAGATTTCTTTTTTGAAGGACAAACACTATGAAAACATAGGAAACTAGGAAACTTCAGGTATCCCCAGAGTTTTTTCTTTTAGTTTGCTATTACCTCAAACGGGATCCTTTTATTTTGTCCTGTTTCACTAAATGCATGTGCCAAGAGAAAAACATCATCCACACCAACACCAAGAGCAAGAAATGGCAAAACCTGCAGTGAGAACAGAACACAGTACCATTAGACCAGGAGGATCCAACGCAGATCACCTGAAAGCTATTTGAACAATGTCCTCAGTGCTCCCTAAGAGCCTCCTCAAGGGGAGTTATTTTAACTCACAAGGAAGGATTTATTTTATCTGAAAATTTATACCCCCTCCCATACCAAGTCTCTCAGTTTCAACTCATGGTAGCTCTAATATGCTTTGACTTCTAAAGCCCAGGTACTTCATTTAAATTAACAAAATGAGAAGCAACCTAATTCATCTAAATTTTAGATTCTAAAGCCATGGTTCCTAAGAGTGACCTCTGGCAAACATCACTGGGATTGATTAGATGCAAACTCTCAGCTTCCACTCCACACCTATACAATTAAGCACTTTGGACATGAGATCCACCAATCTGAGTTTTTACAAGCTCTTTAAATGCTCCTCAGAGCTTGAGAAAAAAGGTCCTATTTCTCAAGTGGAAGCATCTCTACTAATCAACGAACCTTGTAGATTTCTTTTTTTTTGGGGGGGGGGGTCCGGTCGTGGGGCCTGAACTCTGGGCCTGGGCGCTGTCCCTCAGCTCTTCAGCTCAAGGCTAGCACTCTACTACTTGAGCCACAGTGCCACTTCTGGCTTTTTTCTTTTTGCTTATGTGGTGCTGAGGAATCGAATCCAGGGCTTCATGCATGCTAGGCAAGTGCTCTACCACTGAGCCACCTTCCCAGCCCCCTTGTAGATTTCTTACTGCTTCCCTCGTGGTCCACTGAGATCCAGCCTGCCCCCGAACAAGTAGTATTCCAGTGGGAAGCACACAGGGGAGGAGTGAGTGGGCTGAGCCCAGCTGGGGTGGGGAAAGTACTGGTCAAGAGACTGAGGATGAAGGGCTCCTATAGTACCTGAGTTGTTGCAGCGTTAAAGGAAATCCCGATCAATGAGCACAGGCCCAATCCTGCAGCCACTGACAGTGCAACCAACAGGACGCCAGCCAGCCCCACGGCACCCTGGGACTTGGAGCAGTCCCAGCGCAGCATGGTTAAACAGGCATAGGCAAGCTGCAAGCAGAACAATGGGGTAGGGGGTGGGATGAAGGAATGGAGGGGAATTGGAGGAGAAGAAAAAGGTGGGGGGGAACACACAAAACAATAGCCAAACATTAGAATGTATAGTGATTCTAATGTTTCCCCCCACATACCCATCATCCCAAATCCAAAGGTAGAACTTAGTAAATCCAGCAATCACAAAACTTTACAAACTTCACACAAAATGATGGAGGAAAAAATGCTTTACATATGATTACTTATTTAATCCATTATGAAACTGAGTTCACTATCTTGAATGCAGGAGTATGTGAAGAGCAGGAGTGGTCATGAAAAGGTAAAAACTAAATCAACCAGACCGGATCAAACCAAAACAAGCCCTCCACCCTCCCTCCCCCCATCTTCCAGACTAGAATTGATTGTTACCATCAGTAAGTAGCCACTGGCCACTCGGATGACGCTGACATCAGAGAAGGATTTTAGAATGTCGTCCAAGGTTGTAGTGGTGAAGGAAAGCACCTTTTGAGTGGAGTTCTGGGCAACACTTTGATGAACAACCTGCAGTCACAATGTAAGACTACGTTTCCAAGTGTAACTACAAGTTTCAACCAGATTCAACAGAACAGGCCTTGGGTGACCCATCTCTCTCTTTTTTTCTGAGGCATTAACAAAAATTTCTGTGTGGCTCAGGTGGACAGAGCAGTGAGAGAGGTGGTTGAACTGGAACTCATATTAATGGACCCTGAGTCTGGGACAATGAGGACTGTTGCTAATCAGGAGAGAATGGGTGTGTAGTGAGCGGTATAATCAGAATTCACTTAGAGTGCTTTATTCACTTCAAACCTAAGACTCTTATTCTCTCCTCCATACCCCTACAACTAATTTGTGGTCCCATCAGTTTCCCCTAATCCAAAACAACTCATTCTTAGAGGCGCTGTCCCCCCACCCCCATTTGCTGGCCACTTTTAAAAGGTCACATGCAGCTCAGTAGAGGTCACTGCTTGGGAAACAAAGGCCAGCCCTTGTCACATGACCTGACCAAGGCGCCTGCAGCTGTGAACAGTCTATGCCTTGCTAATGCTTTCCAGACACCTTTCCTTGCTCACCAAGTGTTTAAGCACTGTTAATTCATGAGCTCTGGAGTTCACAACTGGTGATTAAATGTATTTTTGGCGCATCCCAATTAGAATGAGTGTTTCTTAGACATTATGTTAAGACTTTCAACACCCGGGAAAATAAAAACAAGTTTGCATCCCATCAAGTTCCTAAAATTATAATCTATGTTGAACATAAATCTAGCCTGGTGGTGAACATCTGTAATGCCAGGATTGGGCAGACTGAGGCAGCTGGATCTCAAGTTGGAGGCTAGCTTAGGCTATCTAGCTGGCCTCCAAAAACAAGCAAACAAAAGGCAACAATAAATTTTAAAAACTAAAGGTAGAATATTTTCAAAAATGATGAAAAAGACTGTAGTAACTAACAAGTATCCTGGATTCAAAGGTGGGCTCACCTCTACGTATGTCCTCTGCCAAGCTTCTAGGATAGCTGCTGCTTTGTTCTCGTTCCAATTGATGTGTGAGACATAGTCGTAGCCCTTGAAGTGCTCGTACATTTGCTTGGGAGTCATTAACTGGAACATGGTCTGCAGGGCGTGGGCGCTGTGATGGGGTGGAAGGGGTGGGTAGGCATGTCAACATTCTCCAGAAGCAGTTTCCACTGTGTGAAAATCCCAACTGAGCCCCTCCCCAACTCTGGTGGAGTCCTTTCTTTCTTACGTGAGCACATGTTTCCATTCAAACAGGACCAGGATGGTTATTTTATTAAATAGATTGATGTTCCATATTAAAGGTGTAACCTTACCAACCTTTTACAGATAGACCCCAAAATTAAATTAATAGGCAATTTCCTTTCTCAGTTTCTATTCCATAAAACAGGAAGGGGAGAGGAGTAGATAGCTTGACCAGATACACTGGGCTCAGCCACGTACACTAGCCATGCAGAAATCTCAGACATTGGCTTTCCCAAGGGAGAAACCTCAGACGAAACACCTGACACTTGGCTGACCACGGTCTGTGAGTACACAAAGGATAATGGATAATTCTTATTTAGCCTTTATTTCTTAGTCTTTTCCTTTTAACAGTATGTGACATTACTCAGCTCACATTATTCAATTCTATACACCAGGACTGGGGTTTCCGGCTTGCTTGATACTTGCCTTTACATCACAGGCAGATCTAAAAACCTTAAAGTCAACAACTATAGTTTTGATGAAAACTACAAATCTATCCTAGAAAAAATTCCCCACAAGTTACCTTTTTCAAGCTGGTCTGGTTTGCTAATATTTCCTAATATTCAATTTCACTGCACAGCTAGCTGGGGTAACAGTGAAGTATGAATACAAATAGACTTGCAGATGTCAGAGGGGAAGTGGTTTTCAGGAAAGGAGGAAAAAAATGGATGGCTTGGGTTTTACTCTATGTGTTAGATTACCTGACAAGCTGTCCAGTGCTGTTCTTGACTGTACCACCCACAATCAGCTCCTCCTGCCAGTGCATATACTTTTTGGATAATCCATGACATCCACCATTCAAAACAAGGGCCATATCAAGAGGCTAAAATAAAAAGACAGCCACATAATTACGGGAATTAGTAGGCAGGTCACATGCCTTGTTAAAATCCAGTGCATTTAAGGGCTTGTTTGTTTCAGAGAGAACATTAATAACAAGACTAATGAGAGGCGTATGGCAAATCTTACAGCAAAATTTAGCTCTACAAACACACTTAAATCTATAGGCAAAAAAAAAGGTTGTGAAGAATGAAATCTTTAAAATGAAAATAATCAAGAGAACTATAAATGGAAACAAAAGCAGCTTTTCTCTGGCCCTTGTAAGAACAATCACTGAGCAAACTCACTCTGGTTGAATTTTTGTTAGGGGCTGTGGCGGGGCAATCGGGATCGGCTGGATTGAGGCAGGGACGGTCCATATACCCATGGCCAACTTCAGCCTTATTCAGCATTTCCTCCCAACTGTCCACTTGATAGTTTATTTTCTTTAACTCTTCTAGGAATTCCAAAGGGTCAAAGTTGGTCCACCGCAAAGGAGGTTTACCTCTGTGAAAGAAATCAGGGGGTGAGACTGAAAAAAAAGCAGCTCCCTGAACCATAGGACAGGAAAATAACATGTCTGCATGCTTTACATCTGTGTATTTTAATCAGCTTTTGGTAATAATGCTGCAATGTGGAGACTCTATTTGATATAAATTAAATGAACACTCCTTTCCAGTATAGCTGCATGAAAACTCAGGTCAGGAGAATAATTCATAACTGAAGCTGGAAAGCAGAGGTCTTCCAAGTGAACAAAAGCATCAGAAAATCTTAATTACCAGAATATTACGTTCATTATCTTTAAAAAGAAAAAAAAAACAGCCAATGGGTACTTCTAAGCAGAATACTGAGATCTAATTTTATTTTTAAAATAGAATCACAATGTCAAATTAGCACTTGTCTGCCTAATAAATGCTTTGTAAATGCCATCAATCAAAACATTTGATCTCTGTTACCTTGAACAGTTCCATACTTATGAGCTCTCTCCGACAGCCTGGCAGTAAGGCAGGAGAACCCCCGTGGCCTCTGCCATCACCACCATCACAGCCACTTCCCCCCACACTCACTTTTGAATTTGTGCTGTTGACAGACCAGAAAGGCTTTTGGCTGCCTGTTATGTGGTTCAAACCACACTGTAGCTGCTTAACCAGGCTGAAGTCATTATTCAGAATCTCCCAACCAGAAAACACAAAACCCCTTATTTCCCATCTAAAACTGTACACTGAGGGTCAGGGGATGGCCACTGCAAATTGCTTTTGCAGATATGTGCAAGCCAGGATGGAAACAATAACCCAAGCACTCACTCTTGCATAATTAACTGAAAATGTCTACCCTGATTAACGATCATTGTTTAAATGATGCGGTATGTATAATATGCAACTGCTAGACTAGGAAGCATCCTCTACCATGACCTTCAAAGATAGTGCATTTCTCCTTTAAATGTCATTAATGTGATCTGAAGAAGGGTTAATACTTTACTTCCCAGGAAGATCTCAAAACTTAACTTTAAATATTTAAACTTTGCCAGGTACCCAACAATACTCCTCTTAAAAAAAAAAAAGTTGAACGTCTTAGTGCCTGGTCTGCATAACTGCAAACATTTTATAAAGAGTTAAAAAAAAAATCACACATACTCTGCAATAATTTGCATTTTATTTGCATATAAATAGACTGGTAAAAGTGAATGAAATTTAATGATGCCTACAGAACTTTTTTTGAAAAGAGGAGAAACATTCGGCTGAAATCCCTTCTTCTCCCCACTATTCATTCAAAAAAATGCACTTGGAATTTCAATCGTTTTATTTCTTGTCCAAAACTGAAGAGAATAAACAATGATAAGCAACATCAGAAACAGAGACCTAGAGTTTAGAACTGAGAAGACACAATTATATCTTCATACTTACAGGAGGTATGCTGTCCCAGACTGTAATTTTGCCCCTTCCCAGAAGCAGTCCAAAGGTGTAATAATTAAACAAGGGTAAAGGTATTCTATTATCTGTCAAAGTGGAAAAAAAAAAAAAAAACAGGCCATGCATTAGGCTGACAACATATTTCTTGGCTGTTTTTGAGAATTTGAGACCTTTTTTACAAACAAGAAAATATACCTGATCCATGTAACCTGTTTCCGTGATAAGTTCTCCTGATTTGTAGCACAAATGTTCCAATTTCCATTGCCTATTGGAATGAAAAGCAGAGGCAAGATTTTCTTAATAATAAAGGAAATTAGTGCAAAATCAGAACAAGAGAACATATGAAAAGAATAGCAATTTCGATCACTTTTAAGCATCTGTCAAAACGAGCAGAGCATGTGCCAAGTACAGACCCAGCAAGCTTGCTTTAATGAATAGATAATACTCAATTGTAATTAACATGTTGGGTGTTTATGTAAATGAATGCTACCAAAGTACTTGAAAAGTCTTGTTTTCTTAAGTGTTCTCCCAATAATCTTGTTTACACCATTAATCTGCTTTTCTACATACATTAAACAACTTCAGGCAGCCCAGCTGAATTATCAAATTCAAAATAAGTAGGAACTAAATTAGTGAGGATTATAATAATGTATTGATATAAATTCAGAGGGAGGAGTTTTTAACTGTTCTTTTTATTGGCAGATAAAGTACTCATAGGTAGTATTTAAAACAAACTTTTTCCTACTTTTAACCCTGAATGTTACAAACACCTGCCAGGTAGGGTATACTTATCCTCTCTGCCAGTCTTGTTACAGAAAAACATTAAACGTATTGACCAAGGATTAATTCAAAGGTTTACTATGTTTAAAAGAATGGTATATACACCCATGCATTTCTGAATGTATTAGGTAAATAATGCCCAATTTGAAAAATAAGAGGAAATGACTTAGAAGGTGTGAAGACAGGATGAAAGATTCTCTCCAATCTCCCCTATTTTACTGGTCTCCTATGAGAGGCCTGATGTCATCTAAAGGAATTGACTTTGCCCTTTTCCCTGGACCCTCTCTCAGAAATCTCCCATCTGTCTCTCAGTGCCCTTTTGAAATATCACCTTCAACACATGAAAATGACCGCTTTCTCTAGAGAAAGCTGAAATTTTGTTTGACACCTGGAGCCTATGTGGCAAGATTGCCCATGTTTGGCTGGTGTCGTGCCTATCTATATAAATGTCATTTTAAATTTTTTTTATTGTAATGATACTGTACAGAGGGGTTACAGTTACATGAGTAAGGTAATGAGTACATATAAATGTCATTTTTCTCTCCAAGAGCTAACCCTTTTGCCTTCCCATCTACCTGCTCATGTATATGTGTGTGTGTGTGTGCACACAAAGATATGAATTTTAATTCTGTACATCAACATAGAGTAAGCAACATAGGAGGTTCTCAGTTCCTATTTCTTGATCAACTATTATTTAATGCTTGTTTGAGAAGGGTTACAATCACTTGTCTTGGAGCCAGAAGAAAAGGTCTAAAATCATATAAACCTGGATGAATAATCACTTTTTTAACTAGAAAATGTATAGACGGAACTAGGTATACATTGATAAAGTCCATTCCAGTGCTGCCAGGCACAGGTGACTCATGCCTGCAAACCCAGTTGAAAATGGGCTGGTCACAGTTCCAGGCCAAACTGGGCAGAAAAATTAGCGAGTCACCTTCTCAACCCCGTAGTTAGGTGCAGTGGTGCACACTGTCACCCCAAACTATATACTAGACTGACGAAGAGAATCAGGTTATCAGGCTAGTCTGGGCAGAAAATTTCACAAGACTGCCTCCATGAAGGGAGGTTGGATAATATAGCGCCTGCCTGCAATCCTAGCAATGATAGGAACTCTTAAAGTAGGCAGACAGAGGCTCAGGTGTATGCCTGGAAAGGCAACAAGACCCCATCCTAAAAACAACCAGGGAAAAAACAGAAGTATGGCTCCATAATATTGTGCCAATTTATCAATCACAAGGCCCCCAGTTCAAACTCCAGTTATATCAAAGAAAAAGAAGAAAGTTCATTCCAATGCATAAAATCTCTTAGCTAAGAATTCATTTTCCAGAGCTTTGAATCTTGTCCTGAAGCATGTAAATGAATGACCAGGTCCCTCAGAGCTGGAGTCTAGCATATTAGGCACATGTGTGCAAGGCATGTGTAGTGACTCAGACCACCATTTCCAAGATCTTCACAGGGCCTTCACTTGAAAATTTTGCCAAATTGCACTTGCTGGGCAGGCTAGCTAGACAGAATGCTGAAATGCCCCTTTGCATTTTTAAAGCCCTTTCACACACATACCTTATCTTGTTCAGTAAACCACCAGATAAGAGAGCCCATGTCATCATCAGCCTAGTTGTTTAGTAATGACCTGTGCAAGTGACAGTGATACCCAGCATCCAGTTTCAAGCTAGAATGGATCCCACAGCCAATCCAGGTCAATCCATAGGGAGTGGAAGTTAGTGCAAGGACAAGCACGAATCTTAATTTCATTCTCTTTTCGGATTCTTTCTGGTTTTTAAAATGTGCCTATGCTTCCATTTCCTCAACCCTTCAATTAAGACATGCCAAGAAAGGTCAGCAGCTAGGGCTAGAGGAAGACCACTGTAGAAATGGAGTTCAGACATGGCAATCCTCAGCCAGTCACCCAGCAAACTTTGAACACTTATGCTATAACCACTGATCAGATGTGTTGTTGCTGTCCTGAAGTGACTGACAGTTCATATACCAAAAAACACAAGAAAGACTGTTAGTTTTGTTCCAGAACTCTTTTCTGATCTTTACACACAGTACTGTTTAAGGAGTCATCATGCTAAAATCTAACTTTTTAAAAGAAAAGGTATGCATAAATTCCCTTTATTCAACCTGTTAGTAATTCCTAGAAGGGCTCAACCCATTACCTATTTGTTTTGTAACTCAAATCAACTGTGGACACAAAGAGAATTAATATCTTCCTTTGTTTTACTTGCTTTTTTTTTCTCTGCATTGATTTATGTTGACTAACAGAAATTCAAAACGTAACTTGTCCATTAAGCAACAAAGATAATTTCCCACGTTAACAAAATGCTTAATTTGAAACAAATCTCAAGCACTGAAATATCTTATAACTCATGTAGCCACCCAAGTATATCTGAATCTTACTCACCTGGAAAGAGTGTCAAGATATTGAAGTTTCAAGTCACTAATCGGCAAATTTAAAATCTTCAATGTGCTAATAATACTCTTTGGGCATCAACATGATGCAAAATACTCTCATTATCAAAAACATTTCATAAGGTGTCCTTGAAACAAACGTATTTGTGTTCAAATTTGAGTCTAGTCCCCAATACATCTTATTATATGTATTGCTAAAACTACAAAAGCCAAAAATTATCTGAAACACTTCTATTCCCAAGCATTTTGATAAGAGATATTCAGCTTGCCCTGGCTCTGTCCTTACCTGTAAAGGAACCTTACCCAACAGCCTTCTCCCTGCACTTAACTTGCTTCACCTGTGCAGGTGGAGAAAGGACTTACCTGTTGTACATATATACGTGGACTCGGCTGGCCTGGAGTGCTGAGTCCAGGTGTTGTAGGAGGGCTTCTGTGGTCAGGACATTAGCACCTTCTTCTTTTGGGGTCTGTATCATGAGTTGAGGATTGAACATAGCCTCTTCTCCAATCTTCTGGCGAGTATAATTTAATTCACGACTTACTCGTCCACCAACTGATGAATAGGAAAAAGTTTCTTCAATTAGACCAGCCGCCCCCCACAAAAAAAAAAAAAAAACCACTCCAAAGTGAAGTTCTGTCTGTTATCTCAGTCACTGACATAGGTTCATACGCAATGAATGAACTAGTCATAAAGCATGATGTTAGAGAAACATCCATCTCACCATTAATGACAAAATTAATTTTGCAAATGATAAACATGTGAAAATAAAAACACTCAAATGCATTAGCTATTTGGCCTGTCATATGCATGTGTGTGTGTGTGCACAGAGACACACACACACAAGATGTGTACCTTGTGCACATTCTAATATACCTTGTGTCTAAAGGGGGGAGGCAGAAAAACTTGAGCCACCTTCTCCTTGCAGACCAGACCAAATAACTGTTAAAATTTCTTTCACTTGTATAAACAATGTGCCCCTGCATCACATTTCAAGATAAATGGCTTCAATTTACACTCTTCTCCTAAGTAATCTGGCAAAGGTAACAAGGAAATGTTTCTCCTCTGTGGAAAAAGAAACAAGGAAAGGTGGCAAGTGTGTAGTCAGCACAAAACTTGCCAGAAGATAATGTGATTCAAATCAGATGTACATAGGGAAACCCCACCAAAGAGGAATAACATGTAATCAATCAGGGCCATCCTGGGCAATCCCCGGAACTTGGTTCAATCAGACTCACCTGGCCCAGAAAACTCGGATGCCAGGCTCTAAGTCACCGGAGGGATTGTCAGCCTGTGATCTGGAATCTTCCCAGGTAATTCTGAATCTGGTGCTGAAACTGTCCCACCAACCTGGCTCACTAGTAAGATGGCAAAGCTGGACAGTGGTGCTGAGGTACAAGTGACCAAACCTTGAGAGTATTTGGGCAAACTGCCTTTTCCCCTCCCTCTCCTTTTCCATCTTTAAGCCCCAGCTTATATTCGGCTATGGTTTTGAACCAAGACACGTTCACCCGTGCTGAGAGGCATCTTGGAAAGGCAATTATAGAAAGAGGATCTGCCTCCCTGTGTGTATATACACTAAGGGTACAGGAGGGTGGTCTGCACAGTTCCTAAAGTCACTGATCAGTTGAATGTTTCTGAAGAAAGAAAACAAAACAAAACAAAACCAGACCTCCAGCGATAGTTTAGAAAGAACTCAAGAGATTGTAGCTTTCCCACGAAGAGGAATCCTTTTCCTACAAGTTTAGTATTCAAGGACATAAACATTTGGTTTGGGCAAGTAAATAAGTACTGGGAACAGCAGGGCGTTTAGTTCTCTTGGCATATTTTATAAACAAGAGGGCAGACTAAAAAGCAAATAATGCCCTCATTAGGAAAACTAGTGCAGAATCAGGGTTGGCAGGACCCTGTGTGCAGGTTCAATAAGGTGCCAAGGCTGCTGTGAAACTCTGAGGTGAGGTTTAAAGTGTGGGGTGAGGAGAAGGAATGTCACCAATTGGTTCATAAACAGTATTAGGGCTTGTGTGCAGACAACTTTGACAAATGCCAAGGGGAATGGCCGAGGGCTTTGCAATTAAGTTAGGGAAAAGACAATAGAGGTGGGGATATTGCTCAGAGAGGGAGAGCTTGGCTAGTATGCCTAAGGCCCTGGGTTCCATCCTAACAAAACAAAACACAACACAACATAGCAAAGTCTAGGAAACAACTTGCAACAGAGCATATGTTTATATGCTACCCATAGTTCTTTACCCTGCAACCCACTAAAATCTTGAAGACAGTTCTGTTCATTATGACAGAAATCACAACACTAACTTTCAACCAATTACCTAGTGAACTGAATTGGAACCAACTCACATCCTCTTAAGGTAAAGAAGTTGTTGGAAGTTAAAAAGCCAATTCTTAGTCCATATGTCACTTACAAAAAGCAACAGAGCTGTACATTAAGGACCTGATCCCAACTTTTGCTTAACCCCTTTCCTTTATCTCTAGGTAGCATCACATCTAACACCTTAAACCTAGAAATCCTATTTCCACCTGCCTCTCAAACCTCAGTACAATTGGTAAAGTTGCGCTTTCTTTTACTTTTATTGTAGCTTAAAATTCAGATGACTCAAAATTAGTAGGTAAAAACAAACAGTTAATAGAGCAGATACCCCCTTTCACTACAATGACAAGTGCTATTCCAGAGAGGAACAACCATGTATAGCTTGAGCTTGGTCAGCCCAGCAGCTCCTGTAACTATGTAAAGCATGGGCTACAACCAAAACGGTGATACACACAAAGGTAACAGAATAAAAACACAGGGTCAGATTGCTGTTATATGTGTTATCAAAGGTGGATGTTTTACCCCCTCAGAAAGAATGTTACTTCTAAGATACAAATATTCTTCCTGGTTTTCATCATATTTTTGTGATGTGTATTAAAATAAACACATATTTCAATAAAGGTGTACATCTGCCACGTCTCTAGCATTGGAAACCTTTTTGCTCTTCCACTAGTGATCTGTTAAGTGACAAAACTAGTTTCAACCAAGACAAGATGATCACTATACACAAACCAAGCAACTGGGTAAGGCCTTGAAGTTTAGTGTTTTCTTAATCACTGATGCTATATCCTATTTATGACTATGGTTATTTTTATTCTTACATATAAGATGGCTATATCTCACCTGGCATTTCACATTAGTCAAATATGGATGTCTTTAAAAAATAATTCAATAGTAAAGTTTAATTGCTGTCCATTTTGTATTAGTAGATGCGTATTACACATGTATTATGGGGTAAGCAGTGGAAATGCTTGGTAGATGAGACCAAAATACTCTGCTACTTTGCTCCAAGAGGCTCCACAGTGACATAAACCAGTAATGCACAAGCAACCCAATAAGATAATCTTATAGCATGACCTCATATAGCTACCTCAAATAGGATGACAGGAAGATCCAAAGGGAAGTAACACGTCAGGTGACTTAGGAAATCTGGGAGTGGGAGTGGGGACAGTGTTTTAGTATGGAAACTAGCAACTGCAAAGCCTGAGGTTTGGCTTTCGATTGAGAGAGAAAGGAGTCAAGTGTGGCTGGAGTCCATAGTCCATAATTATGTCATCCATTTTGCTTCCCCTGGTAGACTTAGCTCCTTCTCAAGTATACCTGTGTCATAAACGGCACAACATTCATATGGCCTTACATCAGTATTCACCCAAGGTGCCCTGGAGACATTACAAGAAACAGAAACCTTTCTGGACAGAATTTTATGGACTTGCCTGGTTTTGCTAGCTTCCCTACTAGCAAATGCCTATCCTAAATCCTGGTGAATGACAGCCCAAAGCTATTTCACTACCTTGCTGCCCTTCCTTATCATTCATAGGTGTGAAGTTTCTTGCTTAGGTGGTACCACAGAACCCGTTTCAGATCATTGAAACTACAGCCCTCATCTTGTCTTTCCCATTTTCAAGGGTGAAGTCCTTCATATATTTTTTTAAATTTAATATTCATGAAATATTGTAGAAAAAAATTACTGGAACAGAATAAACCAAAGACATAGGTTTAGAAAACAATGTTAATAATCATGATTGCTAAGTGGTGGTCGATGGGTAATATATACCTGCTTCCCTTTGTTTTCACTTTTTTTTTCTGCAAAGAACATGTGTAATTGAAGAATTTGATGACCAAAAAGGGAAAAAAAAAGCAGACATGTAAAAGCTATTTATCAGAGTTGAATTTAAAACAAGTTTAGTGCAAAATAATATGCATATATGCATCTTATTACAATGGGTGCTGATGACTCATGCCTGTAACCCTAGCTGCTCAAGGGGCTGAGAGCTGAAGATCTCGGTTCAAAGCTAATCTGGTCTCACCGCCCAGTGGGGAGCAATTGATGGGTAAGTAGTACAGTGTGGTCTGTGACATACATAGTGAGAAGCACAATTTCATTTGTTTCTTACTGGTCTCTCCTCACACCTTGTCTTTTTCACTTTCATGTTACTTGATTTGTATTAAGAGCTCAATGTTTTGTTAAAATAACAGTAGCCTGGAAAAAAAAAAAAGAGAGAAAACAATCTTTTTGATCAATTGTAGATTTGCTTTAAGTAGATGAACACGGTAAGGAAAAATTAGGTTTTGCTCAGAAAAGTTAAGCACAGCACCCACAGAGAATGGGAGATGGTCACAGTTCGCAGACATAGATGTTTACAATGCCTTATTTACAGGATGACCATTTCTTGAGTCCTGAGTAGTTTGTTTCCAGTTTCAATGGCTGCTTGTTTTCATATTCCCCTCATAGTGTGTGTATGTGTGTGTGTATATGTATGTGTGTTCATCAATTCTTGCTTTTTGGCTTTTCTGTGTTCCTACTTCTAAAATTAAAAAAAGAAGGAAAAAAAGCTAGTCTGAGCAGAAAGACTGTATCTCCAATTTACTCGCAAAATAACAGACTGAAGGCACGGATCAAGTAGTAGAATGCAAAGCTGAACGAGAATGTGAGGCCCTGGGTTCAAATCCCAGTACCAGCACACACAAAGAAGTTTTGGTTGTTGTGCCTCCAACAAGATGAGGCCAGCTGCACTAGATGGACAATGCAATGGGGACACAGGACCCACTTGAGGCAGCACTAATAGAGTTGGGCCTCAGAAATTACGAAATGCAGATGAAAATGCCAGGAACTAGCCTCCCAGGAAGGTAGGAGGGTTAACTGACAGTTGTGTGTAGTTTCCCCAAGACCTTGCCTGGTTGCTGAGCAGGTGTCTATTCATTTACTCATTGTCTTCAGAACATGTGCCTTACTTTACAAAGGGGAAAATGTACTTTGGGTTACTTACTCAAGATCATATGGCTAATAAAGAGGCATAACTGCCCTGCTGGCCTCTTAGCAGTTAAGAACCTGAGTACAGCAGAGGAAGTGTTGTTAAGGAACACCAAATTCAATATATCAGATTTCATTATGTTCATAGCTAGAACTTTTAGATGCATTGGGAAATGCATCTAATTTTTTTTTCAACAGAGCCCATAGGCCTTGACCCAACTTTCTGTTTTCCTTCTGGTCCCCAAGGGGGCATGTTAC